AAAAATAATTATGTAACATCTGTTTTCACATTATGTAACAGTTGCAATGTGCCTAGTACTGCATTAACCACATTCACAACACTAGCTCCAGTCATAAAATGCCCCAATGAATACGATTACTAGTTTGCGGATGAAGACATTGAGGTTAGTTAGCTTGCTCAGGTGTACCTAACTAGTGACAAGGAGGAGGCTGAATCCCAGCTACCAGGCTTTAGTGCTTTTCCCCAATATTACATGTGGCCTCTTAAGAAACAGGTACCTTGGAGGGGTCAGTTAACTAAGAACAGGGCAAGCATGTTCATTTCTGCAGCACAGGAGCTGTCAGACTACACAGGCAACAGCCAATACTCTAACTTTTCTTTGATGGGGCCTCTGTGGCGATTGATTAATGGACTCTTTGGCCAAGGGTTAGTCTGATGAAGAATATACACACATATGGAATATTCTATGTACAGGACAGAAGGTCTTTGAAGTTAGCACTTGTTAAGCTTTAACATGTACAACAGTCATGCAACAATCTTGTTCAAGGGCCAATGGATGAAGCCAGAGTCTCTTTTCTATGGTGGTCTGGAGGCCATTTTGGGGTAGCAAGTTCCTTCGGCTACAATGTTACTTCCTTATCAAAACTGCAAAGCTAGTCATTTCTGTGTACATGTGTCAAATGCCACTAGGCATTCACTGTGTTAAGAGAAGAGGATAAATAAAATGTTTTTTAAAGGAGGTCATAGTCCCTTACCATCCTAGGGATTTTCTTTGAATTTTCGAAATGAAGTGCAATGTCTAATACAAAACTAACTGTGTTAATGACCAAGCCCCTACAGAGCGACCTGCAGGGAAGTCTGACATAGACTGTGCTGGAAGCAGCAACGTTGTGAACACCTTTGTTCAAGGACCTAACAGATGACTCAAGCCAGGATAAAAGCAGATGCTTCTGTAAAGCTGAGTGGGCGGAAAAAACTGGTGTCAGTGTGCAACTGTCTGGCTCTTAATTGTTTCTCAGAGGTCCATGGATGCAAGGTGTAGTGAGAGCTCTTTTTGGTGTGTGCCCTTGAAGGGCTTCATCACAGGCCCAAAAGCTACAGGACCAATTAACCACAGACTACCCTGTCCTTTTAAACCCTGAATGTTTGATACAGCAATGAAAACCTGACTAATATACAGTACAACTTCACAAAACCAACAGAACTCATGGACACATAACCATACCTATATACCATTTTTGGCATGGCAACAGAATTGTGCTAAGCACTGTAATACAAGGCAATAAACAGAAAGGTATATAAGAGGCAAAAAAAAAAAAAAAAAAAAAAAAAGTGGCCGAGGAAAGAAACAGCTAGCATGGACATGTTGAGAGTACTGCAGAAAAATGGGAGGGTCTTCTTACCTACCTCCAAAACCACTGGTCTAGGGCAAAGCAGTTGTTCTCAACTGGTGTGGTTTTGACTCTTTAAGGGACAATTGGCAATGTCTGAAGACAATTTGGGTTGTCACAACTGATGGAGTACTACTGGCATCTAGTGGGTAAAGGGCAGAGGTACTGCTAAAAATAACACATGGAACAGAACTGCCCACCACAACCACAAATTATGCTTCCCCAAGTATCAACGGCACCGAGGTTAAGAAACCTTGAGTAAAGTGTCTATCCTAGTCAATGAATGAGCACCACTCTATAGTTTAGGAATGTCCATGTGACCGTCCTGCCATGACTGAAATGTTCTCTAGTCTGCACTGTGCATCTGTAGTGGTTGGCTACTAAACACCACTGAATATGGGAAGTGAAACTAATGTGCTGAATTTTACAATTTTTACTAATTTATCACTTTCTTGAGACTGGGTCTAGCTATGTGATCAATGCTAATCTCAAACTAGTACAATATTTCTGGCTGAGCCTTCCAAGTGCCAGAATTACAGGCCTGTGTCACTACTCTGGCTAACTTAAATTTAAATCGATACATATGGTCCGTTGTTACCATGTTGGATATCTTAATGTTTGGATATCCTAATGTTTTTCTACTTTCACAGGCTGCTTCTTTCTACTTTTCTGAAACCACCTACTCATCTGACTGTTACTAACATTTGGCTGGGGTGGAAGGGAAACACGTGCTCTCTCACACACGCAGCAAAACATTACCAAATTAAACATTCCCTATTTCGAACACCTGGAAACACCAGCGCACCATTACACACATGTATGATATTGCAGAAGAGAGGAAGGCCCAAATCTCCCCATTTTCACTTGCAAAGAAGGGTGACATGACAATCTTCTGAGCATTGGATCATGCTTTGACCTATTTCTACACTTAGCACTTAATGGTCTCTACAGAAGCTGAAAAGAGCAGGCGGGACATCACAAGCAAATTCTCCACCTCCTCAGAGAGGCCACTTTCTGATCTAGCTGGCTTTGACTGAGGCCACACTGAATGTGTCAGGTACTGTGCTAGGTACTGCACATACTTTAAGTCAATTCATTTTCACTGCTATTTGGGGCCCTAGGAAGTTAAAGAACTTGCAAAGATAGGGCTCTTGGATTTCCCGCTCTAAAGCAATGTGCTAAGAGCTGAAATCAAAGAGGTCAATACCAAACCCTCGCCGGGGCAAGCAGAACCGCTAGGAGATGCATAACCAGGGCGGGGTCTCAGTAGCTCTTACTTCTCGATCTCCAGCGCTGCCACCTTCCGCTTTTCGTAGAGTTTATCATTCAAGGCCCTTACGATGTTGGGAGTGAGCGGCGCAAAATCCTTCTCTGGGTTCATGGTGGCAGCTCGCGCTGTGCCCGGGAGCCTCGAGACACCTTAGCCGGAGACTACCCGGGCCGTGCCAGGGCCAGGGGAGTGTGCGGCTCCGCGCGGACACCGGAGCCTGCTCATGGACTACGCCGCCCAGGGCCCGCCTGCCTCGTCCTGCCGCCGCGCGCCGCCTCCGGTCCCCCTGCTCCGACCCTGCTCTCCCACGCGCGACCCGGACCGCCCCACCGCTCACGCGACCAGCTCCCGCCAGGAACCGGCAACGCTCACTGGGCCGCGGCCATGTTACTCAGTCACGTGACGCCTTAGACACTTCCGCCTTCCGCCGGCCGAGGGTTCCGCCCCCTGAGGCCACGCCCTCGCGTGCTTGCTGCGGCGGATTGGCCCCGCTTGTCAGGGCTCCACCCCTTCTCCACCTGCTGCTCTATTCCGTGCGGGTTTTGCCGAGAGCCCAGAACAAGTGGTGGGAGACGTTTCAGGCTCTCTGCTAGAGCTTTGCGAAACAGAGTTCTGGAAACAGAGTTTACAGAGGGAACCTAACTGAAGTTTAACGTATGCATTAGTTCTTTGGTCACTTAACAGTCACTTTCGCGTATGCCAACGTTTCCATCATTTTCACCGTATCCTAACCATTTGTCTGATTTTACATTTTATTTGTGTGTGTGTGTGCATGCACAAAGGTGCGCCTTTGGAGGTCAGATGACAACTTGGGGGAGTCAGATCTCCCCTTCCACTCACCATGTGTGTGTGTGGGTGGTCCCAGAATCGAGCTTCAGTCGCCAGGTTTGGCAGCAGACGCCTTTGTCTGCTGCTATCTCTCTAGTCTGGTTATTAGTTTAGAGACAGGGCCTCGAACTCTGTATAGCTGAAGATAGCTTTGAACTCCCAATTTTCCTGCCGTCATCTGCCGAGTGCAGGGATTACAGGCAAGCAGCACCACAGCTGATCTTACGTGGTGCTGGACATGGAACCCAAGGTTTTTGCTCCTTGCTGGTCAAGTCTACCAACTGAGCCATCATCCCCAGACTATATTTAATACACGTGTGCTACGCAGACGTATGCGTACATATGTATGGAGACCCAAGGTTGGGTGTCCTCTATAGCTCTTTTTATTTTTTTCACTCTTTGTTGAGACAAGTTCTTAAGTGTCCTAGGCTGGACTCAAACTCTTTGCAGATGATAACAGTCCTGGCTAATTTTATGTCAACTTGACACAAGCTAGAATCATCTGAGACAAGGAAGCCTCATTAGAGAAAAATGCCTCCGTAAGATTGGGCTGTAGGGCTGGAGAGATGGCTCAGCGGTTAAGACTGCTCTTCCAGAGGTCCTGAGTGCAATTCCCAGCAACCACATGGTGGCTCACAACCATCTGTAATGGGGATCCGATGCCCTCTTCTGGTGAGTCTAAAGACAGCGACAGTGTACTCACATATATGAAATAAATACATCTAAAAAAAAAAAGATTGGGCTGTAGACAAGTCTGTAATGTATTTTCTTAATTAGTGACTGATGTGAGAGGGTCCAGCCCACTGTGGGTGGGGCAGATGTTCCCGGATTCTGTAAGAAAGCAGGCTGAGCAAACTTTGAGGAGCAAGTCAGTAAGTAGTACTCCTCCATGGCAGGTTCCTACCTTGAATTCCCTCAGTGGTATAAGCGCTATGGTGAAATAAACCATTTTCTCCCTAAGTTACTTTTTGGTTTTGGTGTTTTTATTACAGTAGTAAAAAAAACCACCTTAATAAGACAATAAAAGATTACATTCCTCTGGCCTCCACCTCCTTATTGCTGGGACTATAGGTGTGTGCCACCGCAATGGGTTTACTCGGTCCTGAGGACAGAACCGGAGGCTTTGTGCACGCTAGTCAACTGAGCTATGTGCCCAGTCCTGGCCTTTTTAGTAGTAAGGTCATTCACTGAACCTGAAACTCATGGATTTGGCTAGGGTAGCTGACCAGGGAGCACCAAGGACTGGCCCACCTCCACCTCCTTCAGCTCCCAGTGCTGGAGTTAGAGATCATGAGTGCTGCCTTATCAGGTGTTCAAGTGGGTACAAGGAATTTCAAGTCGACCCTTCAGGCTTGTGTGGCTAACACACTACAGGCTAAGCCAACTTTCTGGTCCCTCAAATATATTTCCTTTTAAAAGAAGTCTTAAACTCTCACCTCATGCTCCCTTGTGCCCTGAAATGAAAGATTCAAATAGTTCTATATTTCCTAAGTCATGTTAAACTACTGGCCATTTAAAAGTGGTATTATCGCTCCCTGGCGGTGGGCAAAGAGGCACCTTGTTGTTGGCATTCTTATATCGGTCAGGGGGCAGAGCAGATGGCAGGCCTTTGTTCATCCTAGCTTGATGCCTGGCTTGGTGCCCAAAGCTGTTTTAGGCCTTGGACTCATCAAAATCAAATCAAATAAAATCAAGTCCAGGGAGCGCAGCATTGGAAGAAGTACAGACAGAGACCTGTGGACCTCCATGACACCCACAGACCTTCCTTCCAGTGCATGACACTGATGGGCTAAGGATATCTGCCCACTGACATGATACACACTGCGGATGGAGGATGTCACCCAGGGGCCCACCAGCTGTGTGGCCAGCCTGGAGCTGGAGCTACCACAATGTGCAACTGGTGCTCAGATGGGAGAGAAAGAGAAGTGGAGCATCTTGAGCATCGTGAGGAGAGATGGAACTGGAGACTCAAGGGTGGAGAGGAGTGGCCTGCTGTGAGTGGCCAGCCCTGCCACCAGGAGTCATGGTGAGGCCCCAGCCTGAGCTGCTGCTGCTGAAGGCCATGTCTGAGTCCATAGTTGTACAGTGGCAGGGGTCAGTGTCAATGTCTGTGGCTCAAATGACTACTAGAGAACATGGGGATGTCCCTGGTTAGGGAGTCCCCTGTAGGGAACCACCCAGGTGTCCAGGGGCTGTTCAGAAATGGCCCTGTCCCTTACTAGATGTAGTGCTTTGGAGAGCTGGCCCCATCTCTCACCACTGGTAGCATAGAGTAGGCCCTGTGCCTTGCTCAGGCCTTGATGGCACGAGTGTGGGCGAGCTGGCCCTGCTACTTGTCTGTCATGGGGGTGGCATGGATATAGAGGTGATGTCCCCCACCTCACCTCACCACCCAGCAGCTGGGAAAGCTTCCTACAGGGTCATGAGCTCAGGAGAGTTAGCCCTGCTCCTCACCAGCTGCAGCACGCAGGCCTTAAACCTTGCCCGGACAACACAGCAGAGTTGACCCTGGTGTTGGGGGCACAGACAAGCTAGTCCAGAGGGTGAGAGCACAGGAAAGCTGGCCCCACTACTAGTTCTCTGTGAGGTGGCTGTGGGTGAAGGGATGATGTCCTTCTCTCACCTTGCCTCTCTGCCACCTGCAGCAATCAGAAGAGCTGGCCCTAAGGTCATGAAAGTGGGTGAGCTGGCCCTATGCCTTCAAAGCTGCAGGATACCTCACCCCATACCTCCCCTGGGCAGCAGAGCAGGACTGGCCCTGGTCAAGGGGTGTGGGTAAGCCAGCCCTGAGGGTGCAAATTCAGGAGAGCTGGCTCTACTACTCTGCCATGGCATGGGTGCGGGGGTGATGCCCCCCCCCCCACTCCCCAACTCATCACCTGTGGTAGTAGAGTGGGTGAGATGGCTCTGTCCCTTGCTGGTTGTAGCACTTGGGAGAGTGGGTCCTGCACCTCACCTGGGCAACACCGTGGGGCTGGCCCTGATGGTGAAGGCATGGGTGAGCCAGCTCCAAGAGTGAGAGAGTTCGAGAGCTGGTCCAGCTCCTCACAGGCTGCAGCCCAAGGGCCCTGTGTCTTGATGGGATTGGGCAGCATAGTGGAGCTGGCTCTGGAGACATGTGTGTGGGTGAGCCGGCCCTGAGAGCAGGAGAGCTGACTCTGCCTTCTGCTGATGGTGGCATTGGTTGGCCTGGCCAGAGCAGTGCCAGAGTTTGTCCTGTTGGTGCAGATAAGGGAGAGCTGGAAGGCTGGCCAGCTCCACAGGGCCCAGATCCAGGACTCTGAGATGGTCCACCCCAAAATCTATATCAACAAATGTTTGGGATGCATGAAAGGGCCAGTCCTGCTGTTCTAAAACTATAGGATCTCCATGACATAGGGCAACAGCGGGATGACTGGGAGGAGTCCTGATGAGGATCCATTATTGACGGTGTCACAGAAGCTGGAGATATCGAACCAGACTCGTTGTAGTGAACATTTGCAAATGAAGCTGTATGGACAGAGGCATATACTGTAGGACACACTGTGGCATGCTACAATTCCCACAGTGGGATGTTCTATATGCTTTGGGGGGGTTATTGTGTGTTTTTCATCTTGTGGAGGAGGTTGCAAGGGTAGGTAAGAGAGGACAGAGATGGGCAAGACTGGGGTACATGGTATGAAACTCACAAAAAAAAATCAATAAAAAGCAAAAAAAGTGATATCTCCTATAGTTGCAGATACTAACTGTAATAGACCCCCAGACCTTAGCATAATTGATACCGTGATGGAAGTACCATTCAGGCCATAGAACTCAGTACGTAGACAGTACCCAGATGCCAAAACAAAAACCTAATCCATCAGAGTCCATAGTTCTGGAAAAGTCTCCAATGTACTAACCTTGTTTTTGGCTTCTGTAGTTCTGCTTCTGGCTAACCGTTCTTGTTAACTGAAGTATGCCAACCTAGGATGTGGTTTTATACTTAAAAGCTCATTCTGAGAAAGGCTCAGGGCTATCCTTGGATCCCAAACACCCGGTGTAGTCATTGACCAGCTAATGAATTCACTTGGCGTAAATTGATGTCTGAGTAGTCTTCTCTGGTGGCTGCCCCACAACACTGACAGTGGCTGCCAGCCCACCATGTGGGAGTCAGTGTGTGCGTCCATGCTGTGGTAACCAGGAGGGCTGGGTTACAGATAGCAGCCCCAAATTTGATGAGGGAAGGTACAGGTCTAGATGGAATCATTGGAAAACAGCTGCTTTGGATTATCGAATCAAACAGTGGAACAGATATTATATCTGTGTGATAAAGTCAGGGGAGAGGGAATTAATTGTGGCTATAAAGTGATTAAAAGATGCAGTTATCAAGGAGGTGTATCCAAATCCATCAAAGTTTCCAGAGTCAGGAACTTAGGACAAGGAGGGCTAGCCTACCGTTGAGTCCAAGGTGTACCACATTTGTTTTTAGACCCAAGATACTACTCTTTTTAAACAAGCAAACCCCACACACATAAAGCTTACCATGATTTTGAAAGTGGATTGTCTACTTCAGCTCACAGTTCAAAGACACAGTAATTGTGGGGAGGGCTGTAACAGGCCTTGGATGAATTATTGTGTTGAAGAGCAGAAGAGATTTTGCAAGTGTAATAAAGATCTATACCTGATGTTGAATTAAAGGGGAGGGGAGATTATTGTGAGTGGGGCTGATATAACCAGAATAGACCTCAAAGTGGCTTGAAGATTCTCCCAATGGCCACAGGAATCATGCTGTGAACAGCCGATGGTAGTAATGACAGTTGTCTCTAGTTGCTGAGAGCAGTCCCCTGCCATCAGTTGCCAAGAAAGTATGGCTCCAGCCATCAGGCACAAGGAAATTAATTTTGACAACACACAGGGGAAACTAAGGGTCATATCTTTCCCTATTCCAGTCTTCACGTGAAGATGAGGCTGGTCCTTGTATGTTAGCCTTGTAGCTCTCTGGACTGAGAACCCAGCTCAGTCCACGTGGACTCTTGACTCACCTAAGCTAAGAGAGAATGAATTTGGATTGATTTAAGCTTCTAGGCTGGTAATCATATGTTACGTGTCCACAGTAAACAAATGCTGGGCCTAATTCAAAATTCATTAAGTCATGGAGAAATTAACCAATGGGAATCCAAGACAGTGTGCCTTCTTACTAATAGCTTTCCCAACACAATCCAGTGAATGGAGGAAGGAGCCCCTCCACACCCAACCGGTACAAAAGCTTGGCTCAATGTAGAGAGATGTATGCCCTAAGAAAACATGTTGTCTACTGGCTTCTTCCTTTTACCTTGAATTAAGTACTTGTCAAGGACATTCCAAAACACCGTGCAAGTTTACACATTCAGGGTTGGATGATGGTTGATGCAATGACAAAAATTAAACCAAGGTAATTGGGGGTGATTTGGGTCTGTTTTATCCAGGGTGCATTTGTTTCCAGCAAACCCATGTCTAGTAGAATATTTCATCTGTTTCTTTGCTTTTTGGGGCTGGCTCCCTCATAAATATGAACTGAATTTCCCAAGAGTCACACTACTCACACTACGATAAGGCCTTTAATAATTGAAGCGGCACAGTTCCCCCCCCACCTTTCCAACCAGCAGGAACTCTTTTCTCCTGAAATTGCATTCTGAATCAGGTTGCTAAGAAACCAGTTTCTCCTTAAAGGCCAAACTAATGCTTTGTCCTACCTCTAGGTCAGAAGTTTCTAGAAAGAAACTTCCCTGATATGTTAGCAATGTAGAGTAATTAAGGTCACTTATTCATACAGGGGCCAGCAGCGGTATTGTGTATGAACATCTGGGGCCATTCTTACAGACCTGCCTGCCTTCCTCCTCTCTGACCCTGCTGGCCAGCACTCCCTACTCTGACTCTTCCAGACTACAGGGTAATTCATATGCCTGGCTGCAAGTTCGCCGCTTTTTCATAGCGATGATTTGTCTTGGAGCCCCATTTTGTCTGCTTGTCACTATAAGACTTTGGAATGGTTCTCTAGTAACTGTTAATAACAGTTACACCAATGCATGTAAAAGTCATGTCGTAATGAAGCGAGAAGCTCCAGGTGATGCTGTCCCCCAATCAAAGGGGGTTTCTTCAAAGACAAAGCAGTTTTCAGCTGGTGTTTCAGAGGCATGGCCCAGCAATCTGGTTTTGCAAGTCCCCCCCGCCCCAAGATTCTGATATAAGGGAAGATTGGGAAACTGCTGACTTTATAGAGCCTCTGTATCTATCGGTCATAGCAGCTGCGCACTGATTTTAAACATCCTTCCAGATTGCCCGGAAGTGTGACCTTTGCTCAACGCCACCACTAGGGGAAAAAAAATCTGTCATCTAAGTTTTGGCTTTATGCCTATGATTTATATCTTTTAAAAATTGTTTTATGACATTATTACATGCTCATGTGTGTGTCTATAGGCATACACGTCATGATACATGAGTGGAAGTCAAAGGACAACTTTCAAGAGTCAGTTCTCTTCTCCCATGTGGGTCCTTGGCATTGAATTCAGGTTGTTAGGCGGGGCAGTAACTGCCTGTGCCTGCTGAGCCATCGCTGGTCCCTATTAGTAGTATCTTTATTGACTATGAAATGAATTGGTTATGAACTATAAGTCTGAGTTTAGAAGCATTATAAGAAAAACTTAGCTTGGCACTTGTTATGCGCAGCATGTATTGGCTGAGGTTTGATGGGGTACAAAAAAATGGAGGTTCCTGCCTTTAAGGACAAACCACTTGCTGCACAAGTCTGATAATCTAATTTTGAATTTAAGAACCTAACTAAAGACTGGAGACAGTAGTGCACACAATCCCAGCATACCAGCACTGGGACATGGGAGGCTAATACAGGAGAACCTCTGTATCTCACAGGCCAGCTGGCCTGGCACAAGGAGAAGTGAACAAGAGAGACTCTGTCTTTAGGTAGAAGGCAAGGGCTGAAGGCTCTCCTCTGACCTCCTTGCGTGTGTGTGTGTGTGTGTGTGTGTGTACATGCACATACACACACAGCACCACCATTTAAGTCAGTGTGGTACCAAACACTGTAATCCACTCTTGTCTGGGGCAAGAGCAATGGAGTCCAAAGCTGACTTGAGCTACTGTTGAGATCCTGTGTCAAAAGAGCCAAAGCAAGCAAACCCCAACCAACCAACCAACCAACCAGCCAGCCAGCCAGCCAGCCAGCCAACCAACCAACCAACCAACCAACCAACCAACCAACCAACCAAAGAGAACCCCTAAACCATCCCCCCCATGCCTATAATAGGTACTGGGCTTATTAAAAGGCACATTGTTGGGTTGTATCCCACAATTTCTAACTCAACAAGCCTATGCTGGAGTGTGAGAATTTGACTCTTTGGTAAGTTTCCAGGCACGGCTTCTGGGGATGGTCCAGGGACCATTTTGGACATCTACTTCTTAAGAGACTTCATTCCCAGTGGCTATCTGCTTTCATACTTCTCCTCTCTCTTGCCAGGGGCTGCCTGGAATAAAATAAGCCAGAGGAGGCTGGGATGCTTGATGAGAGTTAGGCATCTGTAGAAGCAAATCTACGCTAAGGCCAGTGTTTAATCACATTGATTCAACACGTGGCCCCCATAGGCTGGTGGTCCTAATAACACACACTAGGAGCCCCTGGGGAAAAGAGGTAGATGTGGAGTTAGGGCTTTGGACTGAGGTAGGTGCCCCACATCTTTGTGTGGGTGGACCTTCCTGAGGGGCATACAGGAAAGACACTCACCTATGTGGCCACTCTTTAAGAGCATGTGACATAGTGGCAGATTCGAACATATCAAATTGGAAGGAGGTCCTTACCGTGGATAGGATTCCTGACTAAGACGAACTCACACACATGAGCGAACACTTTTGCTGAGTGGTCCCTGTTCACACCCTGCAATGTTATGTGCATATATGTATAAGAATATATACTAACCATGCTCCACCTCAGCCCAATTCAACCCGCATTTGGGGAGAGTAGGTTTTAGGTGAGAATTAGGTGGGAGGATGTGTACAGATGAACAGAGAACCAGCGTCCTCCGGCTGACTGCTGTACCCATAGCTGGGGAGGGGAGGAGGGGGTCTCTATTGGGATTCTCCAGGATCCAAATTCCAATGAGGACTTACCTCCTGCAGGCAAGAGACATGGGATCTGGAGGCTGATGGTATAGAATACAAGAGAAATGGTGAGGGAGGTAGAGTGAGGGCCATAATCCCCAAGTCCTCTTAGTGTGACCTGTTCATCACTACAAAGATGCCACTTCTTTGGCTTTTATGAGAAAGCAGAAATGGCATCGAATCAAAATACAGTCATATCTGGGGGTGATGACATTTTAAGAAGAGTCAGCTGCTCCTTGCAGTGGACACTTGTAAGTGCTGTGTGAACGTCCTGAGTTTGCTACCCATGCCTCCTTACAATTTGGGGTCACTTCAGAGTGCTTAAGTGTGGGGAGCGCAGCTATTGAGACCTTCCATGATTCATTTAGCCTGAATCTAAATCTGCTGTGTGCCACTATAAATTTTAATGTGGATTATAAATTTCACATCTGTATTTGTAAAATATAACATAGAAATCACTTCTCCTACAATTAAACACATACAAGAAAGTCCTTGGAGAATTCCCCTTTTCTTCCCTATTCTTTGCTGGGACATCGTGAGGCATGACTCATAGGCTGAGAGGACAGCTGCCAGTTGACGCCATTGTGATTTAAGGGGTGATCCCCTTCAGATAATAAACCCATTTGAGTCCGGATTCTGTGCCTTCACACTGAGGGCAGGTGACAATCAGCTTAGTGGTGATAGGGGTTTTACTGCCCGACGGGTTCCCCTCAAAGAAGACTGTGATGTTGTTGATCTTCTTAGACCGTACGGTTTCTGCAGCCCGGATGGTGAAGGCTGGGTTCTCCACAATGAAGGAGAAGCTCGTTGGATGCAGGAAGATGTTCTTGAAGGGGATGATGATGTTGTATCCTGCTCTGATTAGGAAGGGTCCTTGAGGTTTGGGGGGCAGAGCAATTCCAAAGAGTGGGATGATATATTCCCCACCTATGAGTGATGACAGGCACAGGATGCCTTTGGTCTCACCCAGATGGTTGGGCTCAAAGACGACTTCCACGCTGACTTCAGTGCCACCCTGGGCTCCTGGGGCTGCGTTAATAATTTTTTCTGTGTGGAAGTCGGGACAGTCAGTCTGAAAGGGAAACAAAGTACCTTGACTCACACAGGATCCTAAAGGGACTATCAGGAACCCAAACCAAGCCCTTCCATTCTAGGACAGCAAAGAACTTGTGTTTGTGTGAGGCTGGGCAAGCTGTAATGTAACGTCCTATTCATTGTGGAGCTGAGGTTTTTGCAGTTAAGTATTACTTATCATTACCCCAACTTGGCTACTAAGAAACTGAGGCCAAGAGATGTTAACAGTGCACCTTAAGACATATAGCTAGATAATGCTGGGGGAGGGACTGAAACTGTTCTTCATACCTAGTTTTTCTCTCCCTTCATTCACATGGAAGACAGGGCATGCATTCCGGCTTGGACAAGACTGAAAGGTACCATTTGCATCCTAGCACATTTAATTGTCCATGAGTCCCAGATGCTCTGACCAGAAGCATTTGAGATAGGATTTGTTCTTTCGCAGGCTCCCCGAGTGACGGTGACAGACTGACTCTCCAATTTGCTGTTATTTCCGTTTTCCAACTTAGACTCTAACTGCTACAGTGGCTAAAGTATATGGAATGCTTGCTATGGGCTACGTGCTAAGGAGATGGTGTTGCAGACATATTTCACGCACACATGTACATCAGTGCTGGTAGTATCCCTGTGAGGCTGCAGGTCACAGGCTTCTATGGTTTGAATGTCATCACTCAAACTCATGTTGAAAATTAATCTCCATGATGAGATAATAAAGATTTGGGATCTCTAAGAGAAGACTAGGTCATGACGGCAGCCTCTTGTATGAGTGAATCTATCCACGGATTAACATATCGATTGGGCTAATCGTTTGAGAGTGTATCTGTTCATAGAAACCAGTCCTGTCTCACCCCACTCCCCTCCCTATCTTAGATTCACCCATTATGAGTTTGGGACTTCTTGGGGAAGCACTTACCAGATATAGTCCTCTGATCTTAGACCACTCAGCTTCCAGACTTGTGAGCCGAGTAAACCTCTGTCTGTCTGTCTGTCTGTCTGTCTGTCTGTCTGTCTACTTTTTATAAATTAGACAGTCTCTGGCTTTCATTTATAGTAACGGGAAATGGCTGACACAGGGCTATTATCTCCATTTATAGTTTAGAGAGAATAAACAAATTACTCGTTCGGAGTGATGGATTAGGATTCAAATTCATGTCTGATCCCACAGCCTATACTCACTATGCCAAGTGAAACTGACTTCCTTTATTGCCCCCTTGAACACAGTGTGGGAAGCAGTCTCCCTCCTCAACCCCAGCTTAACACAGCAGACAGTTTGTAGAGGAAGAGCCCAGGTTCTGGGACCACCTGTTTCTAGGCGAGATTCAGTTCTCCAAGGTGAAGGTCACTATGACTGTGCCTGGCTGTCTCTGAATTTCATATCTCTGAACCCTTGGAGACACCCTTCTATACGCTAGGCATTGACCTAGAATTCACTATGAAGTCTAGGATGGTCTCAAATTCATGATCTCCTCCTGCCACCTCCTGTGAGCTGGGATTATAAGAATGCACTACAGTTCTGGGCCTTTCATTAGTTTTGAACCCAGACTTCTGACAAGGGAAGGGCTGCTAACCCTGTATTCCTCTCGCTCGCCCTGCAGCCTGCTCACCCTGCAGCCCTGAAGCCTGCTCACCCTACAGTCTGCTCACCTTGCAGTAGTACTCTGTCTTCAGCCGGGTATAATTGGTGAACTTTGCTAGGATGCTCTGGCTGCTGCCAAGAACGGTCTGGAAGTGGACGGGTTTCTCGGGAGGTGCAGGCAAGGCCTTCAGAGCAAGCTCGTACTGGTAGTAACCCAAATCACTGTTGTGCAAGGTCAGTCTCCCACAGATCTCTCCAGCTTTCAGGGGCTGGAATTCAAATGAGAATGTTCCCTGGAAGAGAAGACGGAGGCTCTTGTCACGTTGGAAGTCTGACCCATCCTCTCCCACTGACTGACCTACCTGAGGTCTCACAGAAGGTGATGGCGAAAATGATGCTTCACATACAAATACTGAAGCTGACCCTGAGCTGGGGAATTTCAGCCCAGGTTAGCCCATTCTCACTCCCTTTCATCCCCCTCTAGCTTTCTCTGTTCCAGGTATTTTTTTTCCATTCCAAATTTGAATCTAAGAAACAGGCATCGGCCCCTTCCTAGGGAAGCACATTTATGGAAAGCAACAGGCGGTTAAAGGTCACCCAGACCCTTCTTTGCATACAGTCATTCTCAGAACAAAAGCTTTCTGGGTTCTATCTTTTCTAGAGGGGAAACAGTCTCTTTCACTTATTCTTACAAAACAAAACAAGAACCAAAGGGCATTCTTTATAATAGCACAGAGAGAATGACTCAAATGCACTCCTTGTAGAAGACTGGTTAAATGACTTAGAGTCTTCCCATCCCAGTGGAATATTATACAGCCACAAAAGAAGGAATAGAATTGTAATAAGAGGTGTTGCTATGGTAAGGGAAAGAAAGGAGGTGTGATGGTTTGTATATGCTTGGTCCAGGGTGTGGCATTATTAGAAGGTGTGGCCCTGTTGGAGTAGGTGTGGCCTTGTTGGAGTAGGTGTGGCACTGTGGTCGTGGGCTTTAAGAACCTCATCCAAGCTGCCTGGAAGCCAGTCTTTTCCTAACAGCCTTCAGATGAAGATGTAGAACTCTCAGCTCTTCCTGCACCATGCTGCCTGGATGTGGTCATGTTCTCACCTTGATGATACTGGACTGAACCACTGAATCTGTAAGCCAGCCCCAATTAAATGTTGTCCTTGTAAGAGCTGTCTTGGTCATGGTGTCTGTTCACAGCAGTAAACCCTAACTAAGACAGGAGGTCTGCAAAAAATGTATATAAAGCTCATACTTTTTGATTCAAAATTAATTTGTTTGTATGCACATGTGGACTGGTTAGAGGGAAGCTTTCTAGAACTGGTTCTCTCCTGCTTTGATCCTGGGATCCAAGGACCAAAACTCAAGTTGTCAGGCCCATGTGCAAGAGCCTCTACCCACTGAGCCACTTTGCTGGCCTGTTTTTTGTTGTTCGCTTGTAGAAAAGAGTCTGTAAGAACAGCTGGTTTTGGTGTTACATTTAGGGGAAGTGAGTATGGAGCTTTAAACTTTCTATTTCGTATACTTCTATAAAGCTTGAAATGTTTTACTGTGAGTAGCTATTGAAAAAAACACAAAACAAACACGGGCTGGGGAGATGGCTCATCAGTTTAGAACGCATACTGTTTTTCCAAAGGAACAGGGTTCAAGTCCCAGAACCCATGTCAGGTAGCTTGTAACCACTGTAGGTCTATCTCCTTAGGGATCCAACATGTCTAACCTTTTCAGGCACCTGCACTTATGTGCACAGACCCACATGCAGACATGTATGTGTACATCACTAAGGTACTTAAAAATAAAAACAAACGATTCTTATTGAAAAATAATTAGAATAAAAGGGGTTATCACTAAAGCCATAGATGTTTATCAAAAGAAACATAATACAAAAATAGTTTTATAATAAAACGGGACATGAATAGACAAATGCAAAAACAAGTATAGCTTAGCCTGGCATGCCTAAGGCCCTGAATCGAATTCCCACCATTAAAAAAAAAATCATAGTCAAACTTTCTTTGCTCTAGCTACTGACAGTCTGAGATAGAAGGAGAACAAGATCAAAACCCGTCTGGTTTAGAGGATGAGTTCCAGGACAGCCTGAGTTGTCTCAAAAAAGCAGGGGTGAGGTGGGATGGGGGCAATGGATTTGTAGCTCAGTAGGATAAAGCTTTCCAGGAATGCACAAGGCTTGGGGTATAAACCCCAGAGCTTCTAATTGTTTTCTTCCTTAAAGAAATTCTAGGTAAGGGTTGAGTAGAGGGCTTAGTAGATAAAGTGCAAGCACATCACTCTTGAGATTAGGCAGTGAAGGAGCATGCCTGCAAACTTGTCTTGTCTTTTCTGTTCTCCCTTACAAGGCTAGTCCTTTCCCTTACATCTTTCACTCTTGGGAAGTGGGCCATGTTGGAAAACGCTCTAAGAAGAGGTTCACATGATGACTAAATGAGGCCCTAGCCAACCACCCACAGGGAGCTAAAAGCCTTCCCAGCAACCGCATGCTGGACTCTGGAAGCAGAGTATCTAGTCTCAGGTGTGGGGTGACTAGACACCTGGATGACTGCTTGACTCTAGCCTCCTGAGAGACCCCTGAGCAAGGACCACCCAGCCAAGCTGCCACACCTGCAATACTATTGTCAGATCCATACAGAGAGCAAGCACTTGCTGTTTGACAAGATGCTAAGTTGGAGTATAATTGTTATGGATCACCAGATAACAGAGACGTGATTCTTAAAATGATTTACAGGTTTGATAGAGTTCCATTCAAAATCCCAAGTTTTTTTCTTTGCCTTTATTTTTTTTCTGAGCAACTTGGCTTCAAAATTTGGATAGAAATAAAGAGTCAAGAATAGCTGGCGACATCCTGAATAGTAACAAGCCTATAAACTATCACCAGAGTTAACACTCGGTGACTGCAGCTTTACTTACAACCAGCCCTTCTCTAAGGAGATGTGGATAAGACACAGATGTGTTGGCATGAGAACAGAAGTCACTTTATCTAAGAGGAGCTAGAACAGACCCATGCATGGAGAAGCTTGGTTGATTTTATAAATGCTTCTGCAGAACAGAAAGGAAAAGATAAGATGGGTTTTATTTTCATTATTTATTTTTGAGAGAGGGTCTCAAATGACTTAAGTTGGTCTCAAACTCATACATAGCTGAGAATGAACTTGATCTTCTGATCTCCTTCCTGTACCTCTCCAGTGCTGGGATTGCAGGCATCTGCCACCATGCTCAATTCCATATGAAAAGCTTAGTCAGTCTGGGATGACTCATTGACTTGGAGAACAAAGTGAATCTTCTACTCATGTTATACACTGAAACCAGTTCTCTAGTTTTGGACTAAGAGGAGAATAGTAGTTACAGCACTGTTTGGCTTCTCCTCAGATACCTACCCTATTCCCAGAGATGGAGATCAGCTAGGCTCAGAATAACAAGAACAAGCTAACGTCTATAACAAATTCGAGAGTGAAGGTGACTTCAAACTCAAACGTGAGCTGGGAGAGCCAAACACCACGAGCCTGGTGTCATTGTAGACCCTGCTTCATTGGGATCATCAACACTGAGAGCCAGAGAACCCAGCTCATTCACCCCTGAATTGAGGGGAAAACCTAGAAAACTTGGGATAATCTGACAAGTGCAGAGGGAGCTGGAGGGTTGGTTTCAGTTTAACTCTGAGGTGTTGTCATAGGATTAGCCTAGTGGGGGCAGTAGAGAACGTTTGATTGCTCAAAACTAGAGCCTGCGCTGGGCAAGTGCCACGACAAAGATGGGAAGATCATGGGAAGACCCATCCTGGGAGACCCAGTGAGACTCTGTCTCAAAGAAGCCCACCCAACCCAACTTAAAGCAAAACACCACCCACCAGAAATGGCCAAGACTACTTCTAAGACAGCCCTGCTGGAGAGAAATCTCTGAGTAGAGCTTACTTGATCACACCAAACACACAGGAGACAAAAGACAGATTAAATCCCACTAACAATGGGCAGGAGTGCAGAGAAAACTAACCTAGATCCCGGAGGCAAAGGAAGAACTGGAGTAGTGGAGGGGACAGGCAGAGTTGGACAAGGGCTGGGGAGGAAAGTTAGAGTGGGGATATCAATAAAATTTAGACAGTGAGTCTTAGAAGGATGAATTGATAGGAAAGTCCATTTTCTCCTGGCTCATATCCTCTTAGCCACAGTCAGAGGTTCTGTGTGTCTCTTTAGAGTACTCTGTGAATAAACAAGTACAGCAACCAGTGTCTAAGCATGCGTATGTACGTGTATGTTCATATAAATATGTGTTTGCTACATGTGTATTATGTGTGGGCATGTGTATATATGTGTATATATACGTATTTATGTGTGTGTACATGTGTATGCACATAAATATGTGTGCGTGTGGCTCATGTGTATATGTGTGGGTATGTATATGTATTTATAGGTGTGTATGTACGTATATATGTGTTTGTGAATGTAAGTATATGTATGTGTGTTTATATGTATGTGTGTATTTTATCCTGATACTTTTCACACCTTGCTATCCTTTGCACACTAAGATCCATGCTACTTTGTGTGTGTGTGTGTGTGTGTGTGTGTGTGTGTGTGTGTGTGTGAATTGGGGGATCGGACCCAGGATACCCCATGCATGCGGGGCAAGCACTCGGCCACTAAGGCACACTTCCTGCCCTGTGCTACTTTTATAATTAGCAAAAAAAGATGTTTTCCCTTTAGTTTGAAGAAGGTGAACAATCAATAGACAAAGTCATTATACAGAAGTCCATTGTACCTATCCACACCAAAGCCAAGTGTCCCTAGTTCACATAAAGACTTTAGCTGCAGAAGAAAAGAAGATGAGGCTGCCTGTTCCTTGTCATTCTCCTTGCTCTCTATCAGGACTGGCCCATACTCAAGCTATGCAGAACGCAGACCCAGAGGCTCCATGGGCAGAAGCCACTGTGATAACCCTTAAGAGTCCCCTGGCAGCCAGGGCCTACCTCAGAGTTTGGAGGCACGGCAAACTGGGAAGGCAGGCTGATGTCACTCAACTTGCATTCTGTTGAGAAGGTCACCGAGTAGGGCAGGGGGTTCTCCAACTTGATGGAGGCTGATACACTCTGGCGGACTGGGCTTGTCATCTGGATGGTTTTTATGATGCCAGAAGGGGTGACCCTGAAACTCACAGTGTAATACAAGAACTCGTTGGTCACCTCATTCCGGAAGATCACCTGTGTTCACATGGCAAGGAAGAAGCAGGGGAGAGCAAAGGTTAGCCCAGGGTCTTGCTGTCTGAGAGCTTTGCTGGGCACATGAGGTAAGGTACTGGGGTGGCATGACCTGCCAGTCTGATCCCTGCCAGGCAGCCTTTCTCTTTAGGGGATGTAGTCTGGCTTTTTTTTTCTTCAGGCAAGAGATGACTTAAGAACCTTGTTTTGCTTCAGAAGACACTTTGGAGCAGCTTGGCCCATTGTCAGCATTTTGCCAGTGGGAACAGCTAGGTAATCCCAGAGACCAAGGGAGACCTCAGACCTTCAAGCTGGGATGGGCTTCATGCCTACTGCTGTTGCTGCCAGAGTTGTTATCGAGAATGACAGACAGTATCTAATGCTTGCTGGAGGATTAGCATTTGCCAGGCTACACAATCCCACAATGCATCTGCAATGCCATCATTCTTTATAGATGAGGGAATGGAAGTGTAACATAGCTCAGTGTCTTGCCCAAGGTCATGTGCCAAGAAGTAACCTGCATGGAGAGACTTCAGGGCTCACCTGTGACTGCTCTAAGCAGCCCTCTCCCACTATGGCTGATTCTGGTCATCTGTCAAGAATTCTTTTCCCTGAAGAAAGGGGAAGTGGGCCCTGTGTGCTTGTTGGTCATTCATAAATAGAAACTTCAAACAAATTTCTTTTGAGACAGGGTCTCCTGTAGCTCAGGCTAGTAACCAACTCCAGAGGCAGGCCTCGGATGCCTAATCCTCCTGCCTCTACCTTCTAAGTGCTGGCATGTCAGGTATGTGACACCATGCCTGGATTTTATGCAGTTGATTTTGTAAAGTAGAATCTACTCAAGCTTTTGCTCTTTTTAAATATATTGGATCACTAATCTTATTATTACTAGGTGGCAAATTTTATTTATACAGCCTGGCTTTTACATACATTCTTTTAAAGACCTTGTCTAAGTATAACAAACAAACACCACTCAAGCCTCCAGGCCTGACTTCTATGAGCTCTGAATCCACTCATACTTCCCTGCTTCAAAGCACTTATCTCATTTGAAAGTTACAAAGTAACAGAATGATGTCTGTCTCTTCTGCTGGACAGACTGTGCTTCTTGAGAACAGAAACTGTGCCTGGCTTTGAGCATTGCTGTGTTACTAGCACTTAGCACAGAACATTGTGTGCTCAATGGATACCTAAACAAATGAACGGATTAGGCAACATAGCACTCAGTGAACACTAGGGGACACATGCACATCACCTGGAGGATAGCATCTGCTGTTCTCTAACACCCCAGGGTCAAACTTCCAGGGTTTTGGAGAGGAACCTTTGACGTGGCAATACCTTTGCAGTGTACAGTCCCTCTTTGTAGGAAAAGAAGTTCAGCTTGTAGTCTTTCTTGGAGCCAGACAGAACATCAATGTAATCAAGGCCCTTCAGAGTGACACTTTGGTCTGCCTTCTCTGGTTTCAATATTTCCACAATGACCCGGAATCTGGAGCAGTACAAGAGAGAGGAGAGAGGCAATAAGAAACGACGAGAGACACTGAGAGACAGTGAGACTGTCCAAAGGTGGGAAGGAAGGGGCTGTGTCTACTTTTACTTTCATGAATATTGTGTGGGTCTGTGGTTCCAGTCTTTGTTTTGTCACTAAGAAGGACAGCAGCTGCCGTTTATTGAGCCAGGTACCCAGTAGTCCCTCTCTGTTATTTACAGATCCTCAGCTGACACAATGTCTAGAAGGTTTGTGTCATTAACATCTCTGCTTTATGGAAGAGGAAATAGAGGCCCAAGGAAGGAAGATAACACGCTTGGACAACATGTGTAGCTACTGGCAAAACCAGGGTGTGGACTTAGATCTGAGCTTTTTGTCTACTATGCCAAGCACCTCCAGGGAGACCCCCTTCTAGTCTCTTCTCTTTGGAAGGAAAGGTTGAGGCTACGTGCCCTTGATCTCTTTCAGTCCCTGTATTCCTTTCTATCTCCTACTTCAAGCACAATTTGAGGGACCCTCTTCTCTGGCTAGTAGCTTGGGCTATAAGACACTCAACAACAACAAAGATGTTGGCCCTTAGGACCACCAGAACTATTATTTATTGAGCATTTATTTTGTGTGAGGCAGTGCTCTAGGGTCTGTAAGATATAGGATCTGTAAGAATCAACACTGAACAAGAAGACAGGGTTTGTGTTCATGAGACACTTGGGCTACACTGAAGACTGTGTCTCGGACTCCCCCAAATCTGACATTCTTTGTAGGTGAAGGACCAAGTTGGATGATGGAAGCCATCTGCTCCCCTTCTCTCTCCCCGACGGCTCACCCCATACCCTCACCTCTGGGGCTTGTTCAGCCAGTTGCTGATTGGCAGGAGCTCCGTATAAGGAGTCTTGCATGGAACTTCACGGTAGATATTGGCAACAGCTTTGGGGAGTTCGGCAGTCCCATGCAGGGCATATAGCCAGCCAGTCCCATCCGGGAGTGGGAAAAAGAGAGTGCCCTTGGAAGAAGAAGTGACAAAGAAGGATGACATAGTAAACCCTTTATTAATAGACATCTATCTGACCTGGAGGGGGCAAGTAAGCCTAACACTTCTACTTTAAAATTTTTTTTGACTTTTGGTGTGTATGGTGTGTGTGTGTGTTGGTGTGATGTACACATGGGTGTGTAGATGAGTGCAACTGTGTGTAAACACGGGAGTCCAGAGGAGGACACTGGGTGTCTTCCTTGATAGCTTTCCATGTTATTCCTTTAAGACAGGGTCTCTCACAGAAACCGAAGCTCACTGTATTGAACACAGTGAAGACTGAAGAGAATACCCTTTGCTGCTTAGAGCAAAGACTGGCTACTTTCCTTTTCTGAATTTAAAATTAGATTTTAAAAAGATTCATTTTGATTTTTGTGTCTGTGTGTGGGTGTGTGAGGAGTGTAGGGCCTATAGAGGCCAGAGGGGGCATTGGATCCCCTTGAAACTGAAATTACAGATGCTTGTGAGCCATTCAACATAGGTATTGGGAACTGAACTCAGGTCCTCTGTAAGAATAGCAAGTGCTTTTAACTTTTGAGTTGTCTCTCCAGCCCTTAAATTAAATTTCATTCATTCATTCATTCATTCTATAAGTTTGTATGTATCTCTCTTTCTGTGTGTGTGTGTATGCTTGTGTGTGTGCATGTGTGTGTATATGTGCATATATGGCATTGTATGTATGGAAATCAGAGGACAATTAACAAGAGTCAGTTCTCTCCTTACAACATGCTGGTCTTGGGGGCTTGAACCTTGGTGGTAAAGCTTGGTGGTGGACATATTTACTGGCTGAACCACATCATTGGCTCGCTTCTGATTTTTATTACAGCTACCATCGCGTCACTGATGCACTTAAACTGAGTATGAACTGTTCAGTGCTTAGTCTCTGGGATTCTTTTCAGAGCCACGCCCCATGGTTCTCAGAGAAATGTAGGCAAAGAGGGAGGGGAAGCTACTGCCTGCCAACTGTCATGGCTCCCCATCATCCATGAGGATCATAATCCCATAATCTGGATACTCACTCCTTATTTGGGTATTTTTTTTTAACTCTGAGCTCTAAAATGGTCTTCTAGCCACTGTCCACACAGCTTCTTGCTTCCCCTATGCTAGAAAGCAGGTGGGGAGACCTCAGTTTACCTGGTGCTTTCGGTTCTCCAGATTCATGGTTCGGGGTTTGTAGGTGATCTCGTAGGGCTTGTTTTGCTGATGGGCCTCCAAGGTGATGAACTCAGGCCCCTCCCAGTGCTCACCCTCAAAGATGGGGTGCAGGTTCCAGGTCTGGTTGGAGCGGTTTGAGAGCAGGATGGTCTGTGTGTGCCTGGAACGCACTTGGCAGTTGAAATTCACAACCTGGAGGAAGCAGGAAAATCACCGTCCATGTCATCTCCCCTGAACTGTCTTCAGGGTCCAGAGCTACAGTGTGTGTGTGTGTGTGTGTGTGCGTGTGTGTGTAGTGTGTGGAGAGAGAGGTTTTAAATATTTCCCATACTGAATTCCAATGGACAATGTTCCCCCTCCCATTCAGTCAAAATATTTACTAGGTATTTCATTTTCTATTTCAGGTGGAGTTGTGTACATTTTTCTACAAATGGCATAGCTTCCCTTTTCCTTATAGCTGCACACAACTAGCTTGTGTAGTGGTTACACACATGGTATCAGTCAAATTGTTTCAGTGCAGAGATGAGGACCGGAGTTCAACCAAGCATCCAGGTGTGCCTGGTGTGGCAGGGCATATGTCTGCAACTCCAGCACTGTGGGGATGAAGACAGGTGGGTCCCAGAAGCCCCTTGGCCAGTCAGCTCAGCTGAACTCATGAGCTGTGCAGTGGTCACCTCTTGCTCTCCCCTGTGCCAGCCGTGTCACCCAAGCCACTGCCTTGTCTCCCTTCATCTAGGGAAGGTATTTCTAACTGGTCTCTCTTCTGCAGACACCTGTCAACATCTGGTTTGATTCCACTGAAGCTCAAATCAAACACCATCCCAGCTAGGCAAGGCTCAAAGTCCTCCTGCTCCACAAGAAGGAAAAGAATGCTCATGTGGCAAGCCCTCACTGGCTGAGCTATCCTCCAGTCCCTGCCCACAGCTCTTGTAACAGAATTTCATCTAGACAGACTCTTTGAGGCTACAAGGCTTGAGTCAAAAGTCGAAGAAAGAACATGGATTAAGTTAACCAAGAGGGAAGAAGGATTATTCAAGTAGTGGGTATGGGATATGCAAGGTCCCTGGGGCAGGGAGGAGGGCCGAAGGTTTGATGTCGGTGTTGAGGACTGAATTCTCTTGGGCTTACTCCTGCCTTTGGTCCATCTCCAGGCAATGTCTACTTGCCTCTTTTACAGCAGGTGGTCCCACACAGATTCCAGACAGGGTGAGGCTCAGAGGAGTTCCTCCTTGGATGAAGCAGAGGATGTTTTTATAGAGACTCTCCTTCCCTACCTCAGTAGGGTGGTAGGTTACTTCTAGAGCAACCTCCGTGCCTGAGGTGATGTAGCCTTCTTCAGGGCTAATGGAGAAGTGGGGCTTGAATTTCTTCACATCCCATTTAAACCTTTTCCAAGGGAAAAGAAGACAAGAAAGATAGTGTGTTAATATTCTAAGGGTATGCAAAAACTAAACCAAACCAACCAACCAAACAAAAACTAATAGAAGACAACCAAACCAAACCAAAACCAAAAACCTCACTGAGACTTTTGATAATAAAGTCCCTGCTTTGACTACTCCCTAGGATGTAGGAGGAGGAAGATCTACCACAGCAGAGGTGGGTTAGGGATCATGAGCCTAGATCACTCTCTGGGTAAGGCGTTTCTGTTTCCTCTTAAGAGTTGAACCGGGGTATACTGGCTGGTTTTGTGTGTCAACTTGACAAAAGCTGAAGTTATCACAGAGAAAGGAGCCTCCCTTGAGGAAATGCCTCCATGAGATCCAGCTGGAAGGCATTTTCTCAATTAGTGCTCAAGGGTGGGAGGGCCCATTGTGGGTGGTGCCATCCGTGGGCTGGATCTATAAGAAAGCAAACTGAGCAAGCCAGGGGAAGCAAACCAGTAAGACGCATCCCTCCATGGCCTGTGCATCAGCTCCTGCTTCCTGACCTGCTTGAGTTCCAGTTCTGATTTCCTTTGGTGATGAACAGCAATGTGGAAGTGTAAGCTGAATAAACTCTTTACTCCCTAACTTGCTTCTTGGGCATGATGTTTTGTGCAGGAATAGGAACCCTGACTAAGACAAGGGGTGAGAAGTGGCTGCACGTATCATCCATGAATGACAAGCTAGGGAATGTATGTGTGAACACATACTTATGTGTTCCCAAGATTGTATAGTTAGCAAGTGGCTGGATTAGGGACCACAGTCTTTCAAGACAATACCCTTGACCAATGACTTTGCACTGCTTGTTTAGATCCAGGAGGGTGGTGACCCACCCTTTGTGTGAGAGTTATCCCTGTTCTTGGTGGCACTGGGATCTTGATGGCTCCATGGGGCCATCATCCCTGTGGTTAGGCCCTTGGTATGGGCAGAAGGCAGAGGATGATTGGTACATACTAGTATTTCCAAAACAGGACTACCATATAATATTTCTCTTGGTGCTATAACACTGAATCTGCGTGGTGAGGAGCCCTGGAGTGTGCAGTGGGTAGCCTGGGTGGCCATGTTGATTCATGTTGATTCAAGAGGAAAGAGCCTGGGTTCTGGTCCTGTCTTCTTATTTCTTGGCTGTGGTATCTCTGAGCCTCTTCTGTGAAGATATCACTACATCTGTGAAGTGAGGCGGCTAAAGCACCTCTCCTAGAGATGGGGTTGGTTCCTTGTAAACCTGGACAACCTTGAACCCACGGTCACTTGTTGCTACCTGTGTGATTTTGGGGGAAAGTTACTCACTAAGTTTTTATTATTTATTTATTTACTCTTACTCTTATCATTCTATACTGCATTTATACTAAAACAGATTGAGAATTGTCTTACTGGTTTTTTTTCTTTTCTAATTTTATCTGATAGGAATGATGCCTGGGGAAGCACATTTTGTCCCCATTTTTCCTCTCTTTCTCTCTCTCCTTCCCCCTCCCCTCCTCCTCTTCCCTCTCCTTTTCTCTTTCCTTTTTTTGGGGGGGGGATGCTTGGAATTAAACTCAGGGCTTTGTACACGCTACCCAATTGCTCTACCACTGAGCTACATCCACAGCAGCCCCCATCCCCTTTAACAAGGTTTCATACAGTCCAGATTGACCTGGCCTTGAACATACAGAGCCAGAGCTGCCTTGAACTCAATCCCTCTGCTTCTACTTTTCAGTCACCAAGTGCTGGAATTATATGCGCACCACCACTATGCTTGGCCTTAGTTCTTTTTATTTTTATTTAAAGACAGGGTATCACTATGCATTTTAAAATCCTCCTGCCTCAGTATCTCGATCACAGAGATTATATTATAGTATTAGCTGTCTAGAGTTATTGTTGAGATCAAGTTGGATGAACTGTGTGAAGGGCATATATCGGGGATGAACCAGTATTCTCTTTCATGTCATCATGGTAGTAGCTGCCACTGTGATGTTTCCTTTGTGAGGAGATGCAGCTGTCTGCTCTGGCACCTGGTGGGAGACACCGCTGTCAGTCCTACCTTGCACCCACGTCGCCTGTGTTCATTATGAGAATGCGCCGTGTGGCTTGAGTCTGATACACCACGGGACCAAAGGGAAGATGCTCTTGGTCCAGGGAGATCTCCAGGGCCTGACAACAGCCGCTGAGGAGGAAGAGGGGACGCAGTAGCCCCATCCATTCCATGAAGACTTCCTCAGAGAAAGGAGGGACTCGCTTCTTGGGGGCAAAGGTTATCTCTAGTTTACAGACTTCTTTAGGCTTCATGGTGATGGTGTGGAAGGGCTCCAAGGTGATGACCTGGTCAGAAAGATGATTGGCTCAGAAGCCGATAGTAGAAGGCTTCTTGGACCTCAGGTTGCTCCCTGAGGCCTTGCTGCTGGGACTGTCTCAGTCCAGGGATCAAATCTCTTATGTTACTGGCTCGGACATCTTTGATAAGTGACTCAAACTATCCCCTTGACTTGCCCTCAGTGAAAGGCAAGGTCCTGTGTATAAGATGTGTGCCATATGACAGGGATCCAACAAATGTTAATTTCCTGTCCTGTCCCGTTTTTCAGCTCCTCGTGGGCAGTTAATTCCTCCCTCCTGCTTCCCCCCGTGGGAAACAAAACAGTGGCAGGAAACATGAAATAAGAAACATCAATCCAGTCTTTCTCAAGAAGTGCTCGCTGGCGGGAGAGCATCGAGTTAAGTGAATTAAGCCATATGCAGAAAGACAAGAATCATACTTCCTCTCATATGCAGAGCCTCAATTTATATGCATGTATGTGTATATGTATGTATGTATGCATACATGCATGCATGTATGTATATATATGCATGCCATACAAGGAGCAGGAGGCCTATGTGCCAAGAGGTAGAAGTCTAAGGAGCGGGGATGGGGAATAAGGCTGGATAATGGGAAGAAAGAAATGCAGACTATTGCATGCTTTTTCTCACACGTCGAATCTAGATTTAACATGTAACACATACACACACACACACACACACACACACACAGTCACGAGAAGAAAGCAGAGGGGAGACTCTTGGGGGAGAGGACGGGGAACAGCAGGAGTGGGGGAATGGGGACAGAAGAGAGCAGTTGGAGATGAGGAATAAGAACAAGGTACAGTCACACACATACGCATTTGTGTAAGAGTGTCATAATGAAACCATTATTTTGTTCGCTAGTGAGAAATACCGGTGATAAAGAGGAAGTACTGGGACTCATAAAACCAACCCCATGGCTTGCCCAGGCTGCCTGACTCAGTGTCTCTGGGATGACCCGCAAACTGCATGTTCTACAGTTGGGGACCCATATATTCTAAAGCTCGGTAGCCACTGCATGCATTCCTAGCTGGCTTCCTCTTTCCTCTTGGTCCTGGTAAGCTGGAACCCCAATTCTGTGGAAGGAAGCCAATTCCTTCAGAGTCCCTCCCGTGTACTATGGTTGAAGGGAGTGAGCTGAAGGGAAGAGAAGGAAACGAGACAGACAAACAGTCCCAGGGGTTTCCTGAAAGTGATGACTTTGGGAGCTAGCCTGAGGTGATGGCGCAGGACAGGTCACTGTAACGATTCTGGTTACTCTCTAAGGGGCAATCTGATAGGGGAATCTGAGAGTAAAGTTTGACTGACAGAGCACATGCATGAACATCAAATGCAAAACTCTTCCCACCCCTGATAAAGAGACCAAGCAAGCAATTAAGCAAGCAAATAAGCAAGCAAGCAAGCAAACACTCATATGGTCCAACCGTTAAGAGCCCTGGCCTGCTAGAACTGAGGATTTTCATTGTAGATTCATGAGAAAGGGGAGCAAAGAATTTTCCTTCTTGTCTGGGTGAAATGGTCGACAAAGTGAAATCCCAGTGAGACATTCGCTGGGTTTCTTGCTCTGACTAGCCAGCTTTTCTGTTACATAGCCCCACCCCTACCCTTCCAATGACACTCCCTTCCACCTCCCATTTCCCTACACTGACCTTGGCTTCCTGGAGCTCTGGAATGGAGAACAGGACCGAGTGATTAAAGGTGAGCTGGGCCAGGCTGTTGTTGACAAGGGAAACAGTTTTCTTGACAACCTGTCCTGGCAGGACAGCTCCTAACTTCACGATCCTGTTGGCTGGATCTAGAACTAAAAGCTGTGTGACCAGAAACAGAGGAGGAAGGTAGGGTTTGTCAGTGGGAAACAAGTGTTGTGCTCGTATCCCGCAGGAGCAAGGGCAGCTCCCTCTCTCAGTGACCTAACTGCTTCAGGTTAGACACGCCTTCATTTTATCACTAGCTTCTGCCAACACTAAATAAAGATAGGAATAATAGAACCTGTAGAAGAGATTTCCCTTCTCTGAAGCAGCTTACCCCACCACTGTGCTTAGAGTACACACACACACACACACACACACACACACACACACACCTACCTGTGACTTTCTTTTGTTCTCTGACTATAAAAGCTCATGTGGCCTCTTGGATTGGGGACCATGTCACTCAGAGTAACCCAAATCTTGTTACCAACCCTTGATCACTCATATTTGGTTCACAATGGGTTATCTTTAATTCTCTTTGGAGCAAGAGCCATGCTTTGTGTTGACAAGACACCAGGTGGCAATGTCCTATTGCTCCTGTGGCTTAGAGGAGGTGGCCACACGATCCCCCCAGCCCCCCTCCCCCTTTGATCACTTGTTGGACTATCTTAGGCATTCTTGAGAATCGTGGATTTCTTTTTTTCTCAAACCTTCTGTTATAATGCAAATACTGCCGCCAGACAAATACCAGATGTAGTTATCAGGTACCAGGAAGACAGGGTGACTATCAGGACAGGACTGTTTTCTATGGATCTGGGTCATCTGGCAGGTGAAGTTCCTGGATAATCCCGGGACCCACGGCTGGCTGAGAATGTTCACCACTGAGGGTGAGAAGGACGGAAGGTTCATAGCTCAACCCTGTGTCTGAATAGGACACGCCCTCAAATGGGATGTTGTATCTGACACTTCTCCAAGAAGATGTAGAACTTTTTTTTAGTGCTTACAGTTGTCTGAGTTCACAAACACAGTGAATCTATCTGGTTCTGAGTAAGAGCTAGGAGTCACTTGAGCCCAGTTTAAAAGTTCTTTACCACTTGGTGTGATTAGGGACCCTGTGGGGCAGGGCCGGATATGCGATGGATCAGGCCTAGGAGTAGAGAAGAGAAGGCTAGGGAAAGGAGCATGGGCTCTAGTGGGCAAGAGTCTCGGAAGGAAAAGAAGGAGGGTTCTGAAGCCCCGCCTACTGCTGGGAAGAGGGAGGAGCGTCCTGAAGCCCCTCCCACTGCCTCTTACCTTCATTTCTGTGCCTTTCCCTTTGATCTCCACTGTCTGTTGAGAGAGCCCATTGATTTCAAAGGGGATGAGTTCTCGGTAGTTGATAGCTTCCCGAGGGTAAAAGGTGATTGGGATCTCCAGTGTCTTCCCTGGCTTTATCACATCCACATTGAAGTTCACCTCGATGTGTGGGGTGTTGGTGTATAAACAATCTAGGCTGAGGAAGACCAAGAGGGACGGGGGTAAGTGTCAAGAAGGCAGAATTGGAGGCTACTGATGGGTCTCCTATGCTTCTGGGCTGGAAGGTGACAGATTTCCCGGCCTGCTGTCCTAGAGTCAGGGGAGTCGCCAAAGGGCCGTAAGGGATGGCAGCGATGGCTGGAGCATGTTCTTCTAGGTACAGCCAAGGAGCTCAGCCTAAGTCACATCGTGAGATGGAGGTGGGAGTAGGTCTCAGACCCAAGGGCTCATGCTTGCCCTCTGCTGATGCTCTGCTTCCTGAGATTGCCTCTCAGAGTTCTGCACTCTCTCGAAGGGGTGCTTCAGAAGTTACTGTGCGACAAAGCTCAGTGCAGGTGTGTTCCAGAGTTCGGCAGACAGGAGTCTGGATCAGGATCTGCCAATAACTAGTCACGTGACCGGGGACAATGTGCTCAGACCATTTGGATCTGTCCCTTTACCTGTAAAATGGGGTTTGTAGTGGCTTCTTCATAGGGTTGTTGTAGGGATTAAATGAGTTTAAAGTCAAGAAAGAACTTTTTAGAAACTTATTTCATTTAGATAATTTTAAAAGGATTTGTTTTATCTTCATTTTTATATGTATGTGTGTCTTGCCTGGGTATGCCTGGTACCCTTGGAAGTCAGAGGAAAGATAGTCTCTACCCTACCCACCCCTGGGCAGGAAGACACCTGTATTTTCTAGCAGAATTCCCCTTGTCTTCCTGATGTGTATTTCGAGAAGGAACCCAGCTAAATGGATGCATAGTACTCAAGGCCGTAAGCAGACTGAAGTGATATCATATTGTGAAAGACTATAGGTAGATAAGAGTAAAATACTTATTTTTTATTTTATACACTTGAGTGCTCACCTACACATATGTATGTATGTATGCCATGTTCATGCCAGAGATCAGAAGAGGGTGTTAGATCCCCTGGAACTGGAGTTACAAACTGTCATGAGGCACAATGTGCGTGCTGGGAATGAAGTGTGGGTCTTCTGCAAGAGCAGCTAGTGCTCTTAACTACTGTCTCGTTGGCTTGAAACTAAATGACAGAACGCATGTAGTAATTACAGTTAAATTTACAATTAAGTTAAATTAAAATGAGGTTCTTTGGTGTCGCTGAGCCACTTAATAGTTAAGGGCCACCACATAGGCCGAGACAGATAACAATAGTTTTTCACTGTAGAATGTTCTCTGTAAGACTGAGATAAAGATTTGTGCATGAATGCAGGCCAGTGACTGAACCAGATTCTCTCTCATTAGGTGATCTGAGGAGTGGTATCGAGACCTGAAATGTTCCTCAGGGATGATGCAGGCAGATTTGATCTGGGAGATTTAGGCTCAGAACAGACTTGTATTTACTACAGCACAATTCACTTTTTAGCTTCTTAAACTAGCAGTTCTCAACCTGTGGGTTGTGATCCCCTTTGGGGTTGTATCACATATCAGATATCCTGCACACCGAGTGTTTACATTATGATTTATAGAAGTAGCGACATTACAGTTATGAAGTAGCAATGAAATGATGTTAGGGTTGGAATCACCACAACATGTGGAGGAACACTGCTTAAGCTTCTTCCCAAATCCCTTGCATAAGGAAACAAACCAGAAGCTTCGGGACTTTGCATTAGGTAGTCACTCGGCACAGCCTTCTACAAATCAAGAAGAAGATGTTTAGCAGGTAGCTCATGGATGGCCATATATTCGTATTTATGGTGGGGGCAGGGACTCAGAATTCATGCCGCACGTGTTGGATTCTTTTCCGTTATTTCTGTCTCGGTAAGGTGAACTAGTACTTGTTAACTTGACACAGCCTAGAATCATCCGGGAAGAATTTTAATTAAATTTCTTAATTTAATTTTTAATTTCGGGGCAGTTGTGGGGCATGCTTTTAATCCCAGCACTTGGGAGGCAGAGGCAGGCGGATTTCTGAGTTCGAGACCAGCCTGGTCTACAGAGTGAGTTCCAGGACAGCCAGGGCTACACAGAGAAACCCTGTCTCAAAAAAACAAAACAAAACAAAACAAAAAACAAAAACAAAACCCTCAAAAAAACCCAAAACAAAAACAAAAAAAAGAAAGAAAAAAATTTTAATTTCTCTGTGTCGCAATTAAAAAGAATCATAATTGAGTAAGTGTCTTTAGTAGGTTGGTCAATGGTTATGACTATGGCGGATTGTTTTGATTGTAAACTGACACAGGAGGGCCCAGCCCACAGTGGGTGACAACATCCCTACTCAGGTGGTCCTGAGCTACGTAAGAGAGTGAGCTAGGCGTGAGTCAAGGTGAGCCATGAAGCAGCGTTCCTCCATGGCTTCTGCTGTACTTGCTTGGTTGTAAGTTCCCTTGTTGGAAGTAATGCTAAATGTAGCAGCAAGCCGTCCTGGCTTCAGATTCTTGCCCCTGAGTTCAGTTTGTACTCTGCCTTCTCTCAATGGAGGTCTGAGACCTGGAAATGTCAGATGAAATACCCACCCTCAACCCCTCACTAAGCTGCTTTGGATTAGAGTGCTTTATTACAGCAACGGAGATGACACCAGAAGACAGGACTTCACCTGCGTGAAGTCTGTAGAGTTCTCATGCTCTTGCCTCTCCGTGAAGACTACTTACCTCATAGATGTTTCTTCTCTGTTGGTGACAAGGAGGACTTGTTTGTATGGGGGCATCCCAGCTTGGTAGATGAAGCAAGTCCCAAAGTTGTGGCTGGTGAAGGAGAAATGGACTGCTGGGCTCACAGCACAGCCTAAGATGTTGCATACGAATGTTGGGCCGTGGCTGATCTGCAAGGAGAGATGGGCCAGGGGACTGTAGTTAGAGGCAGGAAGACAGGGCAACTGCATCGACAGGGCAAGAAAGAAAGTGGGTGGTGTCTTACAAATTACAGTGTTGGGACTCCGCCTCTAGAGAGTCTGGTTTCAGTAGGTTTGAGTTTATTTGCTTCCAATTAGCTACTCTAAGCAGAATCCACACTGGCTCTTGCTTTGTTCCTACAGTGGTGGTTCAGCCTGAAGGCAGAAGGGTTGGCAGAAATGAGTTTGCCCAAGAATTCATTTGCCAAGAAGCCTAGGAGGAAGACTTGATTTCTCATTTTCCCTTATGTTTCAGGGTAGCCACTGGATATAGCTCTGTCATTGGCTGTTAATAAAGGATAAAAGGGTGATGATGTACCCCTTTAATCCCAGCTCTTGGAGGTGGACAGATCTCTGTGAGTTCAAGGCCTGTCTAGTCTACAGAGTTAGTTCCAGGAGAGCCAAGGTTACACACACACACACACACACACACACACACACACACATGTAAAACCCTCTCAAAAATATCAAACGAAGAGAAAAAACAAAAACAAAAAAGAGAAGAGGTGGTGGTGTCTCCTATCTTGGCTAAATGGGCAAAGTCATTATTTATTTATTTATTTATTTATTTATTTATTTAATGTGTATGGGTTGGGGTAATAGGGGGTAGTGGTGAGGTGGAGTGGTGGTGGTGGTGTGTTTGGTTTTTCATCTGATACCTTATCTTGGAAAGTGTTGTATGTATACATTCCCTGCCCCTTCCAAAGCTCTCACTTATTTTAAAGTCTAGATAGTATTACAGTATGAGGATGGTCAACTGCTTCTCTAGTGACACTAGTGAGGCCTCTGTTCCAGAAAGTGTGAGGGCTGTTTCCAAAGCAACCACCCTGTAGGAGTTGCTGGAACTATCCAGCTGGGGTATCATGTCACAGATTCTTCTGGCTTTTAAAATGCATCGGATAGTCTCACCTTGATTTTGAGTTCCAGACCCTTCAAGACACACTTCTGATATGGTTGGAAAGACAGGTTGGCCGGTTCAGACTGACCCACGTCTACGCTACTGTCGGTGGGTGTGAAATCCAAGTACTGCAACAGGCATTTGGGCCCAGAGAGCTCTGCCTGGTAGCTGAAGTTGAACTTGCCGGTGTTGATGAAGTTAAATTCACACTGAACACATTCATTCAACTCCACCTGAGAGATGGAGAGAACAGCACGGTGAATGAAGAAAAGCTACAGATCCCTTGTCTAGGGAGAGACAATGGTCATTGAGAAATAAGGGTAGAGGTGATATTAACAACCTGTGTGTCATCAGCTGAATGGGACTGGATATTCTAGCAAACCCCACCAAATATTAGGGTCCTCTCATATCTCAAGTATAAGTTGGTGATTTAATTCTTAGATCTTTCTTGGTAGTGAAACTCTTTCCTGTTTATTTAATGGAAGTGTTCATGTCTTTTCCTACCATATTAGTCCTCTAAACAAACAAACAAACAAACAAACCATTCACATCATAACTACATAACCCTGGGGACGGATTTGTCTGATCTCTTTAGTATTTGAGACAGGAAGACCCGGCTCACGCTCATGGTATCTATCACACTCCCTAGATAAGGGAAGAGCAATAGTCAGGTCCTTGTCATCCCTTACCTCGTAGAAGTTGATGGTGTTGACCTGGGTGGATGACAGGAGGATGGTGGTGCCCATCCTGTCCCTGCACTTGACCTCAGCGTTCATAGTGTAGCCTTCAGCCTTGACGTTGAGTGTCAGAGGGTGAGCTTTCTTTTTTATATTGCAGATCAAATTGAAGTTCACATCTCCTTCTTGCTTTGGTGTGAAGAAAATATCAACTGGGAACCTGACCGGGAAAGAAGACAGCTGATTAACTGATTAAGCCAGCCTGTGAAAATCTGATAAAATAAGAGTCCCCTGGATTATTAGATACACCATGAGCAAAAGACACCAAAAACAGCACCCTAAATTAAGTGAGTTTTAAGGATTTTCCCAGGCAAAGCTAGTTGATTTATAGACACAAGACAAGGAAAAGGCTATGGACATGAGAAAAAAATATTGAGGTGAAGATTTAGATTAGGGCTGGAGAGATGGCTCAGCAGTTAAGAGGACTGTTGTTCTTCCAGAGGTCCAGGGTTCAATTCCCTGCACTTATATACATGATGGTTCACAACTGCCTGTAACTCCAGTCCTAGGGAATCTGATACCGTCTTTTGGTCTCATCAGGCACTTCACACATATTGTACACAGACATAATGCATGCAGAACATCCATGCAAACATTAAAAAAAAAAGAATTAGAATTCTCAATGCCACACAATTCATCAAGAAAATGAACACCAGGAAGTCTGTGGGTTCTGGGAATTTAACTCAGGTTGTCAGCCTTGGTGGCAGGTGCCTTTACCACTGAGTCATCTTGATGGCCTAGGTGAGATTTTTATAAATGAATCTCTCTGATTGGCCCTCCTGGCTGGCAGGCCTGGGACCCTGCCATGCGTCCCGAGGACTTCATTTTTACTTACCTGGATAGTGGTGGGATCCAACCTTCCATAGGACATACAATGAGGCTGTTATTGAATCCTTCGGAATAGCGGGAGTTGTCCTGGAAGGCAAAATTAAACCCGTGCTCCTCCTTGTTGATGATCTTTACTGTCTCTCGGGCTTCTCTGCCTGGGGAGGAAACACCACCCTTCAGCAAGGGCCTCTCACCTGCTCAGTGAGGTGTAGCAGACAGTGACCCATGCATACAATCTCAGCAACCCGTCCCCCAACTTTCATAGGCCAATCTCAGGCAACTTGCCCCACCCCCTCAATTCCTCAGCCACTGACCACTGCCTTCCTTCCTTCTTCCTTCCTTCTTTTTGCTTTCCCAGTGACCTTCCTTCAGAAGGGGATTCTACATCATCTTCCCAGAATGTTTCTTCCCTAATTGATTGCTCCTTCTAGAAGGTGGGTTCGCTGACTTGGCCACAGCTCAGCTGGGATTCTGTTGACACCTTTCTCTTCCTTTAGACAGGAGTTGTAAGGTCTTCCTGGGTCTCTAATGGGGAATGCCCACTCCCCCTTTGATGGCTCACATCTCTATACAGAGTTTCTACCTGGAGTTCTTTTGAATTTGATCTTGCATGGCCCTGGGCCTTCTTGTGGAGGGTCCTGACTCATTGCTTTGCTTTCCCCATTGGCTAGTGTTAAAACATTTACTTCCCCACAAAACCTAGAATTGTCTTATCCAATTCTCCCCCTTCCTCAATCCTTTAGGACTTGAGTCTATCTGATTTAGCAAAAAACTTTTATTAGCATAAATGCTAATAGTTAGCAAATAACTTTTATTAGCATAAATGCTAATAATGACTATTTCTTGGGACATAGCGTATGTGCGTGTGCGCGCGCGCGTGTGTATGTGTGTATACACCAACATTGAATCTATCTAAAATTAAAATGTAACTGCGCATCCTGTGCAACCTTAGCCATGATTCTAAATGAAATTTGATTAAATTTACACTTTAATTTTGAGAGAACTAACCAAATGTTTAGTTCTTATTTGGAAGCATTTTAATGTCACTTAACTCTTGACATACAGGTCTTAGGGATTGGATTTAACTTTGGATATTGTACATTTGGTTAGCAGTAGAGTTTTTATTTTGTTTTTGCTTCTAGGTGTTTACAGCAAAAAGGGACAATTGTCTTGTTCACCTTACCAAATCATCTCGACTCTAGTAGTTTTCCTCTCTCACCTCTTGGGGCTTTACGTATACAAAGTGATCAGCTACAGCAAATTAGATTATTACATTTTCTCTCCCCATTAAGATTCATGATCCTCATCTATTTTATAATATATATATATATATATATATATATATATATATATATATATATTTCATATTTGTTAAAATCTCTAAGGAAATGTTCAGGTATAGTGGTGACAATAACTACCTAACTCATTCTAATTCAAATAGTTTCGGGGCTTACTATAGGACACTATGTGATTGCCTCTTGCTTCAGGTTAATATTCTTTATGTTTTCTCTTCAACTCTTGTTTTATTGTGGGAGGGTTTTTGAGAGTAGGTGTAGGGACAGACTTTTGATGAATTTAAGCAATGACTATATTTGGTACATTAACACGGCCATATGGTTCTTTATTAAGAGAGTGATTATATCAAAATCTGCACCATTGCATTCTTGAGTTAAACCCTTCATATTGTTTGACATACTATCAAGACTATTGTTGTTTAAATAAACATCTAATGAGTCACTTAAAAGCTCTTTGGCCTTAGCTGTATTTTACAGACCCATACATATCCGTATGAAAGATGCCCAGAGCTATGTATCATCTGATGGTCACTTCCTTTACACCACAGTTCTCCGATGAATGTTACCTTCTTAGCATCTACCACATTACTACTTTTTATACCCTATGACATTTTTTCCTATAACACGTTATCAAACTCTGACTTACTACTTATTTTACTTAGTTTTTGTTAGTCTCCTTTCTATGATTAGAATCTATAACAAAGCTCCCAAGTATTTCAAGGTGTTAGGGTGTGGCTGCCAAAGACAGCCAATGGGAAAGAGACTGAGAGGAAATTATCGTATGGCTCTCTGGTAAGTGACAGAGACTTTCTGACATATTTCTGGAAGGTTCTAAAAAAGAGTGCCCCCCGCTCCTGACTACTCCTGGAGTTCTTGATGACCTAGGGTCATGCCAATTCAAAATGAGAGACTGACAGGTCCAGCCACCTTACCAATGAGGAGTGAACTGAAGTTGAGGTGTGACTTGTCAAGAGAGATGAGGGGGTCCGTGGTCTTGCCCACCAGCAGGAAGGGGACTGAGATATTGTGCTCTGGGATAGAGAAAGTCCAGAATGCTTCTGTGATGTCTAGGTGAGCTGGCAGGAACTGGAATATAATCTAAGACGACAAGTCAGAAAAGGACAGTGAGAGGCATTTCTTCCTGGTCCCTTTGGAGACCTACTTGTATGAGGGCCATAAGAGGTGAAATTTTCCCAGGTTTTCACTACCATCTAAAATGGGTGTGGCTCAAACATTGTCAATCTGTTTGCCCTGCCTTCTGAGGAGTGGAGCCATGCACATCATTCACAGCTTCTGCTGATTATACTGTTGTAGTCTGTGCCATTCTTTGGATGGCATGGTTGTCACATGGTGGACTGAACTAGCAAAGGGAGACAATCCACACGTCTATCAACAGTTTGGCACATAGCCCACTTCAACATCAGAGCAACCCCCTCCCCATCTCTCTCTCTGTATCTGAATATGTGTGGGTAAATGTGAGCTGAGCACACATGTGGAGGTCAGAGGACAACTTGTGGGCATCAGCGCTCACTTTCCAGCATGTGCTTCCCAGGCTTGGCAGTAATCACCCCTACCTACTGAGCTATCTCACCTGCTTTCCAATGGTATTTAAATTCATAACTTTCATCTCGTGGAGTTATTGCTACCTATGCTCTGGCTGGCAAGTTCACATATAAATCTGACCCCCTGCCCTATGTTATTGTGGAGACATTTAGGACTAAGCCATAGACAGGATTTCATTCTTAGGTTTTGCCTTTTTACCTGAGAAAGGAAACTCATATCCATGTGCTGTTGCCAACCTTTTAGATAAAGATAGTTCTTTTATGTCTTTATACTGTGAGCCCAGAAAGCCCCAGATTATTTATGTCTGGTCCCCTTTGGCTCCTTCAATATTCTTATAAAATCCCTGCAAATACTAGAGCTTTCTCCAGAGCCAGCCAGGAGAGCCCAGGTCTCTCTTGCTCACTGCGATTGTACATGCTGATATACAATAATAAACACACTCAATAAACAGTGCTCTACATGTTGACCAAGGATTCTCATCAATCCTATTCTCCTTTCACGCTCTTGCTATGCAGAGATGGCTAGAGTTGTGTGGTCCCCATCCCCACACACCTCAGCTTTCTTTTCAGGGTGGATAATACCCTTTTCTGTAAGACACACAAAAGCCGGAGGGTGCTGGAGACTTTCTGTCTCTTCAGAGGTCCAGCAGAAAGAGTAGGTGCTGTTGGTTGGGTTCAGAATTGTAAAGGACCTGGCCGAGGAGGAGAGATTGACAGAAGAAAGTTAGGGAAGGTATTGAAAAAAAATTCATAACATTTATGTAGACCTCAGGACTGTCACAGTCTCCCCCTGGGGAACTAGAAATGACCTGAGAACTTCATGACTGTAGAAATAAAAATGCCATCTTCCCTGGGATCTAAGGGGTGGTGACAGTTTTGGAGTTTAGAGTGATTAACTCTCCCAAAGCCATGTGTGTCAAGGGATGCTCTGTGCCAAGGTAGGGGTGAGGGAATACATATTTATATACATGCATATTTACATATAACACATAATATACTACATATGTATATACACATTTATATTCCATACTGTCAAAAGCTATGCAAACAGAAGCCAGCTTCATTCATGTACCAGTTCTCTGATGTTAAATCTCTACAACACCCCTCGGGATGCCCAAATTGCTTCTAGGCGTCAGTATGGGTGGTTTTTCTGAATTCTGTGTCTGAGTTCTTTGGAAGGACCGATTGGCATGAGTCCAGTCAGTTAAACCCTGACTCACCGGAGATTCTTTCCACCTATGCCCACACTGGTGAACTCGATCACTCGGGTGTTAGGTTCAAGAGGCCCAGCGCCTGGTCCTCGGAGCTCTGGGTTGCGCCGATGACCACTGATGTAGTCTGATTCCTTCAGGTCAAAGTGGCAGAACGGCAGGACGCTTCGCCCTTTTGTTACCAAAACAGGGCCTTGTTCTCCAAGTGGCAGGTTGGGAATTCTGAAGTGATAAGGTTATAATTTTGATTTTATATTCCGTTGTCGCTTTCTTAGCAGGTTGGAAATAAATATTCCATTCACCAGAATGTGCGTTCCATGTGAGAAGAGGGTGGGCTTGTCTTGGTCAGCCACACCACCTTTTGCCTTGACTGGCACATTCTACATGGTCACATAGTAGGTACTAACTGATTAACTAATTGTTAGGTGGACGAGCGGGCTGAGTATGAGGAACCTGGATGTAAAGTACCCTCTGTGTACTCACATGTGGCTCTAAGTGTTTTCCTCCTTTCAGTGGTTAGATGTAAATGAAGTGCTTACCCCCTTGGTTCACTCCTAGGCAGCCAATAGATTACAGAGAAGGGCCTGGAAATCCTGAATAAATTATCCTAAGACCCTTGTAGGAGGTGATGCGTGAACAGATTCAGACTCAGGGCTGAGCTGAGATAGTCCGTGTATGGCAGACGTCTCTCTGGTATAGGATCAGGGGCTCAGGGGGAGCTCTGACCATTCATGTAGGCCTCTGCCACCCTAGGGCAAGGCTTACAGAAACTTCTACAAGGCAGGTGTTCTTTCTGGAAAATTTCCTAGAAGAAGGTGCCTACCATATCTGGGACTTTCTCTGATATCTGTTTTTGATTATTTTTCTCTCTCACTGGACATCAGACCAGGCCCGCCAGTCCTATATCCCTTCCTGTCTTTGTTTATTGAGTTTACTGTGGGTGAGGCATTGCTCCAACCTCGTTGCTCAAATTAGGTCATTTAGCGAGCCAAGTAATTCTGCATGGTAAGGATTACTGCTTGCATTTCATATACGAGGGAATGGAGTCTCAGAGAACACAGAAGGAAGCTTTCCAAAAGGGTAGACGCTGCCTGGCTACAAATTACTCTCTTATTTAGTGGAGTCCTGCATGTGGCCAGGTAAACGGAAGTAGACAGGGGGAAGGACAGGAGAGATTAAGGGCAGGGCTTAGACCATATTCTCCTTGTTTTCTGAAGGCTGGCCTTTTTAGACTTCTGGGCTCTGTGAGGTGTCTAGGGTAAGGAAGGTAGTGGGAAGGAAGGGGAGGGTGAGGGCGGGAGACTTAGAGAACACATTTCCTTACTGGCAGTACAGGGAGCTCTCAAACTCTCCGATGTCCATTGGGGAGAACTTCACTTTGAGCTTCTGAGTCTTTCCTACAGGCACAAAGCCTGAGGAGGGTTCCACTGAGAAGGGCGAGGGAGAGGCTTCGGTCCAGTGGTCCAGGGCGCTGTCCAGGGAGCTGCCTGTGCCCTGACTTAGCTTTTGACTAGAACCTGAGGGAGGATAGAGAAGAGGTGATATTCCACGGTGGCAACGGGAGGCAGTCCACTCCCCAGTCCCAAGGGACCTTCTGTGCTACCTGTGGATTCATGCCATATAGCAGGTATATTTAATGCTGGACACAAGTAGAAAGGAAATCAACTTGTATTTCACAGGCGACATGTGAAAAACACTTCTATTAATTTTATGGTGGTTTCAGATTGATTTCCTTTTGGCTCAGGGGCAGTGGGTCAAGAAAGGGTTTGTGGATGTTCTGCACCAGGGTAATGGGCTATGTATAGAATTTATGACAAATCATTGATATGACATAGGGATTTACAAAGTGGGAATCCATGGATAAGGACCTGTCTGGAAAGTCTGGGAGTCTCCACAACGGAAATAACGACGATTACTTTATATATACGTTAGATGCTGGCCCTTTGCTAGTGCTTCGTGCTAGGCACACGTATATCACTATATACTTTGGCATAGCTTTCTGTTTCTTCTGGGAAAATGCCCCATAGTTTTCTTTTAAACATATTTATTTTATTTGCCCATGTATGAGTGCTTTGTCTGCACGTATGTTTGTGTACCACATGCATTTCTGATACCACAGAGATCAGAAGAGGGTTTTAGATTCCCCGGGACTGGAGTAGCAGACAGTCGTAAGTCACCATGTGGGTGCTGGGAACTGAGCCTGAGTCCCCTATAAGAGGCATAAATGCTCTCAACTGCTGGGGTATCTCTCCAGCCCCATGAAAGGGTGTTTGTTTACTTGTTTTATGATCTGCAATCTTCTGGAAGGTTAAGAACTAGAAGACAAGATTCCTAGTGGTAAGTGACATGAGCCACCACTCTAGAGGGGAAGAGGTCAAGCTACTTATCGCTCAGGCCAACGTGGCTTTATAAACCCACCACATCCATGCTCCACTGTCCTTAGCTACTCAGAGGCTGTGGGAACAGCGCTGGCCCCTCAGGCTTTTCTATGAATGGTGACTCAGGTCAGACCCTGGGGCTCACTTGGCACTGAGTTTACCTTGATTCTCTGGCATGGCAAAGCTTACTGCCTTGGTGGCTTCTTCTGAGATCCAGCAGAATTCTAACAGCACCTGTCCTGTGTTGACCAGGTCAAACCTGTGGGTAGATCAGGATCAGATTTCAGATTGGGTTGTCCATACTTTCTGCCCTACCTGAGTATCGGCTGTACTGTTAGTCAAAGGCTTGTCACTTCGTCTCTTAAGCCTTGTTTTTATGTCTGAGTTACATCCTCTTGTGCACACACCTAAGTGTTTATATTTTCTTGACTCATTCTTTGACAGTGGACAGCCAGGCTGACGCTGTGTCTTGGCATCTTGATGGCTATGATGAGTCCAAACGGGAATGCAAACGTCCCTCGACATGTTGGTTGAACTCCCCTTTGGGTGTACACCTGGAGGTGAGCTAGCTGGGTCACACAGTAGGTCTACTTTTAATTTCCTTTTGAGGAACCTCCTTACCATTCTCTATAATTCTGTCCTTTTTGTTAAAACGGGTGGGACTGGAAGACATCGCACTGAACGAAACAAACCAGACGTGGAAAGACGTTCTCTCTCACATGTGGACGTTAATACATTTAATCTCAAAGTGGAAGAGGTTAGCATGACAATTACTAGAAGCTGGGACAGGTTAGGGGATAGAGAGAGGTTGGATAGTAGATATACAAATCAGCACAGGGAGAGCTGTAATTCAGAGTGTACTACAGTTTGTAGACACCCATCAGATAGTTTCTGAGGAACTAGAAGAGAAGAATCTGGAGGTTCTACCTCCAGATAAATGTTAAGGGATGGAAATGCTAACTATTCTGATCCAACCATCTACACATCGAGCTGGTAAATATGCACCATTTTTACATGTTAGCCAAAAGGAAATATAAAATAAAAGGATATAATCTAGGTATAATGGTGTACACCTTTAATCTCAGCACTTGAGAGGCAGAGGCAGGCTGGTCTATGGAGTGGGTTCCAGGCCAAGGAGGGCCACTTACTGATACTCTGTCTCAAAAGATATTGTGAGACTGAGTCTTGTTGCTATAAAGGCTATGATGGATTAGAGATCAAGACTTTCTAGTTTCAGCCTTCTACAGAACAAACTATCATGCCTGACTGAGAACCTTTAAAAAAAGAAGGTTTAAAGCAATGTCGCTGAAACTCACTCATTTGATACAATTTCTTTTTTAAAAAAAAATGCAATATATATATACATATATATATGTGTATGTGTATATATATATATATGTAAAAAATTTAAATATGCAGTTGTTTAGTTCTTAAAGACAGTTTCCCTAGTTGTGTAAAAGCTCCCAGTGACTCACTCAAACACTCGGGTCTGGTAAACCAGTGTTTCCTTAAAGAACACGTCACTTGTTTCACACTGATATGAAGCAAAATCCACGTTGGCACTGAACTGGATCCGCAACTCTCGGTAATTTTCTTCTACCACCGAGTGGGCTGGCTCAGGGTCCGTCTCTATGACCTGGAACAAAGGCAACCACGTCCTTAGCACTGCAAAGCCAACCGTGCACAGGAACACTGGGGGACAGCACACTAATTTACCATGGAAAGGCACATGAACCCATACATACAGTTCTGGAAGACATGACTGGCAAACCTCTGATAGCTCTGAATGAAAGAGAAAGCCTGGGCAACAGGTAATTACCTACAGGATTAAGACCATGTGGGCATTAGTTTTGGATCAGATGGACTCTAAAGAAGATGGAAGAATTAGGCATGGTCTTGCCTTTAATTCCAGCAAACGGAAAGCAGAGACAGGTTTGAGACCAGCCTGATCTATATATTGAGTTCCAGGACAGCCAGGGGTATGTAGAGAGACTTTGTCTCAGAAACAAAAACAAAAACAAAAACAAAAGGCTAGAGAAAAGATAACCATAGAGAAAAGATCGGGTATTGATTAAACAGAAAATAAGTTGCAAATGGAGAGGATCAACAGAATTGTTTAATTGTAAAAGGATTTTAAAACTTTTTGCTAAGATGGATTAGAAAAAGTGCAAACAACAAGAATCATTAGTTACAGGCGTGAATCACCATCAACTCTACAGATCTAAGAAGATATATAGATATTTTTTAGATAGACATGAAAATTTGGAGGGGAAAGAAAAAACAATTTAATAAATTCATGCAAGAAACAATTTTTTTTTAAAAAAAACTCATTTAAGTAATTGAACAGTAAAATATCTTAAAGAAAAAGAAACTGAATAAAAAACGCTAAAGAAAGCAATGGAAGAGCTTTATTACTACTAAAGAAATGAATAGTTGCAAATCTTAGAGAAGATCTAAAAAATAGAAATACCCTTTTTAAAATAGGAAGGATGAATTAATATTATAATTGTCAACTGTTTCCCAGATGATCTAGAGCTGTAATGAGTTCCATTATAAATTTTCATAATAATTGGCAAATGGATTCAGAAATTATACATTAGAAGAAAGAGAAGGACCAAGAATGACCAAAGGATTTAGAACAGAACAATGAGGACTAGGAACTTGGCTCCAGGCATCAGGTTGAGGATGAAGCTATAGAAATTAAGGTAATGTAAAACTGGCTCAGGGATGGACAAACTGACACCAGAAAGGAAGAGACCAGAAATGACGTAGGGACATTTAAAACTGAGATATGACGCAGAGTTCCATAAGAATAGTAGAGAGCAGAAGGGCTCCAAATTTGGCAAGGGAGTTGTCTCAATGAAAAATATGAAATTAGAGCCTAGTTTCATACCAGACAGAATTTCCAGATGTATCAGAGACTTAAGTATCAGAAGCCCAGCTTGGACTTAAAAATATGTAGTGAGGTGAAGATATTTTGCGGGAGGGAAGGGTTTCAAAAATAAGATACAGAAATAATAAATGTAAAAAAATAAACTATTAACTTTGACCACATTAAAAATAAGACTATTTAGGGGTGGGGGAGATGGCTCATTGGTTAAGAGCACTGGCTACTCAACACCCACATGGCAGCTAACCATTTGTAACTCCATCAGCGGTTGATCTGACGGTCCTTATGGTTTCTGTGGGCAGCGTAGGTATGTGATGCAATGAATATATGCTGGCAAAGCACCCATACACATAAATAAAAAATAAATGAAACATCTTTTAAAAATTAAGCATAGCCTTTTGTTTATTAAAACATAGAGGGGAAGGAGAGAAATCTCGATCGTTAAGAGCGCATGTTGCTCTTGCAGAGGACCTGAGTTTGGTTCCCAGCAACGATGTGGGGAGGCTCACAACCACCTGTAACTCCAGCTCCAAGGGTTGTCCTCCAGTGATGCTCTCCTCAGATCACTGAGTACACCTGTGCTCATCTGTACATACCCCGGTCCCCACATGCATATAAAGAATTAGAATAAAGACAGATCTTTTTTTTTTTTTTAAAAAAAAAAACTAAGTAAAAATTTAAGCTCTAGATTTTTTGAGAATGTGTGAACACACAGTACAAGTGGAATTTCTGGAAGATAAGAGAGCTTAAACAGAGGATGAGCGTCGTAACTGAAAAATGAGCAGAAGGCGTAAAAAAGGCACCCATGTGTGAGGTAGCCTGTGTGATCAATGATCCTATGAAGACATATCCAAGCTCATCAGCGGCTAGGGAAGTATAATCATGGTTCATAATGAGATAATTTCCCAGTTGTTCAAATGATAAAAGCTAAATTGCCAAGCTTAAGGCTGTGGGTTCATCTTCAGTATCCTACAAACAAACAAACAGACAGACAGACAGACAGACTGACTGACTGACTGACTGACTGACTAACTAACTAACTAACTAACCAGCCTCCCAAATGTCTGACAAAGTCAGACCAAATGTTGGAAAGGACGTGGTCACAGGACTCCTTAGCTGTAGACTGCAGAAATCAGGATAGTGAGTTCAGAAAACACCTGGACGTTGGCTTGGAAGGGCTGGATATTCACATGATTTAGTGACCCCACACGTAGAAATGTAAACACGGAGGCCAACATGCACAGAAATGCTGTCCATAAGAGAACACCTTGAAATAACTTTCAGAGAAAGAGATAAAAAGCCTGGAAGGTAGACAACAGTGAAACACATTCACTATTATAGCCCACACAACTATGAACACATACTATAATCTTAAAAAAAAAAAACAGTTGAAAACCACAGCTACATCTCAATCCTTTTAGAAGCTTAGGTTAACAACACTTGATCGAGGGAGTAACTTGGGCTCATGATTACCTCTAGGACAGAGACAGAGAGACAGAATGGCCAGAGCTACACAGCTATTTGGGGGTCTAGTTCCCTCACTGGGCATGGGTTAATTTATTATAGAATTCCAAAAGGGGGGGCGGAGTAAATTCAAGGAGACATATGGGCCAAAGATGAGATCCCATCATACCCTGGAAGTTTTGACTACTCTAGTTCCAGACACCTGATAGAGGCAGGAAACAGCTAAATGACCAGTGATGCCACTTTTGAAGAAGAGGAGGATGAGGATGGAGGAGGAAGAGAAAGGAGAAGAGGAGGGAGAGGAGGAGGAAAAAAGAGGAAGAAGAAGGTGGAAGGTCTTGCTGAACTCTTTACAAAGACCGAAGCTAAACCCTGTCAACTAAGGAGGTGTGTGTCATTATGGAAATTTAGTTTGCTAGTTTTTGAAACCAAAGTCAGATGCAAACCTTTTTCTGTTTGGCACAGTGAGACTTGAGTACAGTGGGCACCCGAGCATGGCGGGCTGGGTGAAGTCTGTGCTTCCTGTCCCTCGAATACTCACATACCTTTCGTTTTGTCGTCAAGATCCCGGGTGTATTTCGGGGAGCATCTACCCACTTGACTGTGCGCATGCGGTCATCCCAGTCAGGGACCTGGTCTACAGGGAGCTGAAACATGATCTTGGAAAGCTTGCACTTGACACACATCTTCTTCAGGGTGATGGGTGATTCTGATTTCAAAGTCACCAACACATCCTTGGAACAGCCAGGGTGGAGATGCCCTATCTAGGGAAAAATGTGGTATTTATATTTTGGGGAATTCAATCTTCAGGGGCTTTGATGCCTGGTAGTGACTCAAAACATATCATCTAGGTAGATTGACTTAAATCCATGGAAGAGATCCTTTAAAATCTCTCCTTAAGGCCAGGCGCTGTGTCTCGTGGAGGAACCCCAGCATTTGAGAGAGTGAGTGAGGTTTGCTATGAGTTTGAGGCCACCTGAGGCTGCATAATAGGTTTTCAGGCAACTCGGGGTTACAGAGCGAGACTTTCTCTCAAAATAAACACACACATGCATACATGCACGCACACACATCATAGTAAGAACAATAGTAATAGTTACCAATCTGTTACTTGTCTCAGGCACTAGTCTCAATTCTTGAGCAATTTTACTAATCCCTACAGTACCCTCTGAGAGGTACAGAGCTATCACCCCCACTTCATAGATTAAAAAAAAAAAACACTCGTAAATTGCTCAAGGTCTCTAACCCTAGTGATCTGGGTTTAAGCTCACGAAGTATCATTTCCAGAGCCACTCACAACCGCCTGATACTCGCACATTATGGTTCCTACATATAGGTGGCTCAATACAGCATAGTAGTTTCTAGAAAGTGATCTAATGACCCTTGGCATCTCTAAGACATTTCCAGGGTACTTGGAGGACAAAACTTTCAGTATAATCCTGAGATGCCACTTGATTCTTTTGTTTTGTTTTCTGTGTAGCCCTGGCTGTCCTGGAACTCACTCTGTAAACCAGGCTGGCCTCGAACTCACAAATCCGCCTGCCTCTGCCTCCCAAGTGCTGGGATTAAAGGCGTGCGCCACCACTACCCGGCTCTCTTGACTCTTTTATACTCCTTTTCTCATGAGTTATAGTGGAACTTACTAGAAGTTAAAAATGATGGTGCACAGTACACTGAATGGAAAGAGCAGACAGCAGCATCCATAGATTTTACTCACTTAGAGGGTAAAGACACAAAATGGCTGGGTGTGGTGGTACACACCAGAACACAAGCATTCAGGAGCCTGGGGCAAGAGGAAAAGAAGCTCAAGGCTATCCTGGGTTACATAGGAGAGCCTATTTTTTTTTTCCTGAGGCAAGGTTTCTCGTTGTAACAGCTCTGGTTGCCTGGAACTTGCTTTGTAGACCAGGCTGGCCCCGAACTCACAAAGATTTGTCTGTGCCTGTTTCCTGCCTTTGTCTCCTGAGATTAAAGGCATGCACCACTGTGCTCTTGCAGGAGATCCTATCTTAACAGGAAGGATGAAATGATTCTACATTTACCACGTATATCTTTGAAAATATAGTTTTTGGAACATAAAATATGGTATTTTAATTAAAACATAGTTGGCTTGTTGCACTTAAAACAAGTATGTTTAAAAATATGGTCAAGAGCACTGGCTGCTCTTCCAGAGGTCCAGAGTTCAATACCCAGCAACCACATGGTGGCTCACAACCATCTGTAATGGCATCTGATGCCCTCTTCTGACATGCAGTTATACATGTAGATAGAACATGTGTATACATAAAAATAAATTAATCATAAAAAGAATGTTTTAAAAAATATTCCTAATTTTGGGGGCTGGAGAGATGTCTCGGTAGTTAAGAGCACTAGCTGCTCTTCAAGAGGCTCCAGGTTTGTCCCAAGCACGCACATGGCAGCTCACAACCGGATCCAGGGGATCTGATATCCTCTTCTGGTTTCTGTGGGTATCAGGCATACATGTGGTGCACAGACATGCATGTAGGCAAATTACTATACCCATATAAATACAAAATAAATAAATCTTAAAAACATCCCTAGTTTTAATTTCGAATAGGTTAAACATCAATAATTATAATTCACACGGACAAAAAGTTCTTTGAGGGTTCTTAACAATGCTTAAGAGTATGGAGGAAGCCTGGGATGAAAAAGTTTTAAATTGCTCAAATACATCAGATGTAAAGGAGATTCCATCTGGTTTGTAGAATAAAATGATTTGTGATCCATCTTAGATAAAGATGTATGTACATACACCACCAGCATAATTGCTGTTCAAATGTCAGTCCTCAGGCAGAGAAGACATCTTCTCTCCTTCCCCTGGAGGTGAAGGTGTATGACAGCTTTAGATTGCTCAAGATAAATGCATGTGATTCTATGTGCGTATGGGTGTGCACAGATATAAGCCAATTGCTGGGAGCCTCACTCTATCTTCTTTGACAACTTCAAATATTCAGTCACATCCATTATATTTTTTTCTGCTTCCTCGTAGGTCAAACGTTGACAACAAAGATTAAATGAATTTAACAAGGCTTTGGAACTGGGTCTGGCAGAGTTAGTTTTCTGTAGCTACTCCCCAGGGTTAGATTTGGGCTTGAGCTGGTGTTGGAATCAACCAGAAGCCTAGGCTGGCCTGGAACTCATTACATAGCTCAGGCTGGTCTTGAACTTACGGGAGCTTGAGTTTCCCATGTGTTAAGACTGCAGGCATGAAGCACCATTTTTTTTTGGCTTGCTGAGCCACTTCTGAAGATCATGCTCTGAAGAACACTTGCACAGAGGGACACAGGCCACCAGAGAATTCCTCAGTTTCATCCCAAAAGTTAATCTCCTCTTAGACCAGGTGCCCTCTCAAGCACTAGGTCAGAGTGTGGGATGATTAAGGGGCGGTTTCTTAGTTCAAGATGCATGCATCCCATTCTGTGTATCCACAGGATGGAGTGACAACCACACTGGGCTTGGCTTAGGCCCAAGGGAGTCTGGGACCCATTGAGTAACGTTTGCTTACCTGTGGGGAGAAAGACAGTGTAGCTAAGAGGGGCCACTCGAAGCGAATCGCATTCACTTGGCTGTGATTGGTGATGGTGAAGCTGACGGTGTAGCTGACTCCAATGTGACAGTACCCAAACTGGATGTGCTCCAGAAGGGCAGCTAGGGGTCAGAAGCAGAAGGCTGGTAAGTGGTTCCTGGCCTCTCTGAAGAGCCTGCTTTCTAAGGGAGGCATGTCCTGATACACATTCCTGTCTTATGCAAACTTCACCCTCTTCTTCGATGATTATATAGGAAAATACCTTGGATTCTTGGGTAGAAGGATCTGCCTCTCAGGGGTATCCATCCACCCATCCATCCATCCATCCACCCACCCATCCATCCATCATCCATCCATCCACCCATCCATCCATCCATCCATCCATCCATCCACCTATCCATCCATCCATCCACCCATCCATCCATCCATCCACCTATCCATCCATCCACCCATCCATCCATCCATCGATCCATCCACCCATCCATCCACCCATACATCCACCCACCCATCCACCCACCCATCCATC